CTATAAAAGTCAGAAAAATCATAATCAAAAGAAGAATAATTTAGAAAGTGAAAATTACATAAATTATTACTAAATGAAATGAGAACTAAGTTGAAAGCTAAAAAGTTAGAGTTTCAGCCTCACGATACTGATCGTTGAAATTCTATATTTTAAAAGGGTTATCGAACAATGTCTACAGCCTCAAAGGCTCTCCTTAGACATAGACGATCTAGGCATTCACTAGATCTCCTTTTAAAGTTCAAGAAATAATGGTGGAAGTTAAATTAATTAAAAAATGGTAAAATAGTGTTCCAACGTCATGATGGCGATGCGTTGGTGATGCATCAAAATCCTAAGTGTTTGAGAGGATTGTCGTGTAGTGTCTATAGCCTCGAAAGCTCTCATTAGACAAGGACGATGTGGACAATCTCTAGATCTTCTTACGAAGTCTAGAGATCGATGAAATGGGTCGTCGTATTGTCTCTAACAACTGTCACTTGGTAGAGTGAAAAAATAACGACTTTGCAACTCTCTAACAACTATCATCTAACATAGAAGAACTAGATGGAGGTGGGGCACATGTCAAGGAGCTTCATCCTTAAGTCTGTGCAACAAGAGGAGGTTATTCATCGCATCTAGTACGCTCTTAGACAGATCGTCCTCTTCCCAACAACAACTTATTTGTCGATCAATCGGAGATGATTTACTTAATAGATTCGTGATCTTTTATCACAAATCGTTCAGTAATTTTAGTAATAATGCTCTATAAATCACGTTGATGAGATTTTCGTCAATGATTGAGTGGTTCTGGCGAGTTAATTCTTCACCGACGATTTACGGAAAAGTTGCAATTTAATAGATAAAAATATGAATTTTAGCTCTGGTAAGATTCAAACTTGCGGCGGTCACCCACTTACATGAAAGAGAGAGAGAAATAAGTACTATAATACCCTTATAAAGTGATGTCATCATGGTATATTGTTGTTTTAACTAAGGATATTTTAGGTATTGAAATAATCGACACCATGAGGAAGGTGACACGAGTTAAGTCTCACGTCGATTGTACACCGAAGTTTTAGGCGAATATATAATAATATTAGATTAAAAAATAATGAGTCCCTTTCTCCTACGTATACGACCACTCCTTACCCCACAGCTAGTTAGCCATTGGTGATGTAGAAGGGGAGTGGCGCACACGTGCCCTCATCGGTCCATAGCCGCTTGAGCTCCTACTCACGGCTCTATCCCAACTGCACTTCTGACCCACTTGCAGGCCCGGGTCCTCCTTTTTTCTATTTTATTTATTTTATTTTATTTTTCTTTATTTATCTCAAAAATAAGATTATAAAAATCATATAAATTTATATAAAATCATATAATTAACCAAAAACTCACATTAACTAACTAAAAACCATTTTTCACCAATTAATATAAATATAAGTCTATTTATTATAATTTAAGATTAAAACTATATTATTTATTAATTATTAACTCATGATAATGAAGACATAAATAACCTTCCTTTGAGCCACCTAAAGCTACATTTGGAAATTGTGTATCAACTTCACCCCACTACTTAGTACCTAATTTTCCTATCCTATATACCTATTATCTTTTATAGGATCATCTTTCATCTATTTTCCATGTTACTTATGATATGCCCAACTCTCAAGCCTTTTTCTTCTTCTCCTTTGTGATGTCATTTCTTTATGATATTTTTTCTTTATTATCTCCTTTGTTTCTTTCACTAGCATGGGAGGACCTATTTTCATTCTGATTGCAAGAAACTCTTGATGTTGTGCACAATTACTACGTAATTCCCTCTTTATTGTGGGAAATCATCTTTGCATGGCAAAGGCATTTTGATTGAAATATATTATAAAGGCCATGACACAATTTTTGCACAAGCCCTCTTATACATCAAGAGCATCACATTAGACCAACATTTCCTTATTTTATGAAAAATCAAATCTCTCATGTACTGTACTTACTTCGTTCACCCCTGAAAATAAATAAATAATATATATATGAGGTTTTGTTTGTCTTGTGTTTCATTGACATAGTTTTTCATAGGATTTGTTGGTCGTCTTCATCATCCCCTACTTTATGTAGATTCGTTCATGTTTCATCCACTATTGTGAGGAGATTCTACACCATTCTAGTATATTCTAGTCATTTGTCTATTCTTGAGAGGAAGCTATCGTAAGTAACATGTACCTCTTTGTCACCCCCAATTTTCCATTAACCCTGCACCATTTCTTTTTTGTGCCATTCATCCTTTCTCTTCTCTCTTTTACCTATAATTACCCACACTCGAGTTTATCTTGACCTAAAAATTTACTCTCTTGGTACACATTTGACATCCTATGTGATAATGGGAGGAGAAGAGTGATTGCTTTAGACTTTCAGTTGGAAGGAACCCTAGTGGGAATCTCTAGAAATTGAGTAGCCACTCATAGTGAGAGAAATCCTACTGGTGAAAGATACGAGGGCCACTTTTACTAAGATGGTGAGAACTTTTCACAATGATAATATCATACCTAGAGAAAAGTAAACTTCCTTCCTCATGACCACTAGCTCTTTCCAATGCCACAAAGGAATTGGTAATAGGTGCTCAGCATTTTATGGGGATATTCATACTTAGAGGTGTGATGGATACTCTAATAACTTCATACTTGTATCTTTTTGCTTCAAGAATGGATGGATGACCTAAGGAGAACATAGAAGGCATTGCTAAAGGACTAACACTGAGTTAAGTTGAGGGGTGTTGATAACATGATAAATGTGCCCACAATTCCATGCATTTGATATCACTTTAACCATCTACATCTAGAATTTATCATGTTATCAACTAAATTATGTGAATATTTTTGAATTTTATATGAATATCATTATATGCATATTATGGATGTCTTTGATTGACTATGCTTGATTTCTATGAAGTTGAATAATTTTATTACTGATGAATATTCTCAAGTTCCCTGTGTGCAGAAATTTACAAGAGCTAAATGAAATAACTACCAATGGGTTAGAGTTCTCCATAGGATTTTAAAGCTTATTTGTTGGGCCAAAATGGACCAGTTCTAATTTTGGGTTTCAAAAGATCAACTAGAGGGATGTGGGCCACGTTTTGTCCTCATCCACTAACCCTTCTAATTTTTCTCTTAAAGAACACGAAATTCAGATCATGGGAGCTCTCAACCAATCAGAAAAAAGGAAGAAATAGAATGAAGAAAAGTTGATAAATGATAAGAGGGCATTTTAGTAATTATATGCCCTTTATAAATATTCTCTCCCTCTCCATTTCCCACCCTATTCTGGACGCGCTCTTTTCCAGCTTTTATAGAGGGATGTGGGCATTTTCCAAGATCCGGGGTATCCACCTTGATAGATGTAAGTCGTTTTGAAGCGTTCACTCTTGTTCTTCCCCTTGTTGCAGTGAAAAATGCCAGATTCTGGGGGAATATAAAGATCTGAGAGGAGGAAGAAATCTTGAGGGCTCAAATGACGAACATCAGCACCAATCCTCTCTCTATACCTCTGAACCCCCTCCTCTTTCCGCCGTCTCCCATCGCTCTGTCTTCCGTTCCGCCAGCTCCAGCCGCTCCACCTTTCCCTCTGTTTTCGCCCACCGTTCCTTCTCTCTCCGCCTTCTCCGGTAGCCTCCTTCTCTCTCCGCCTTCTCTCGTAGCCTCCTTCTCTCTCTGCCTTCTCCCGTAGCCCCCTTCTCCCTCTGCCATTGAGCGTGTGCGGGATGCGAGTGGCCACAGCCCGCCGCCGTGCGTCTGCCGACAGCCACCGCGTGCCCGCCGTCTCTCTCTCTCAGCTTACGAACGTAACCGAGATTCCCAAATTTCGGTTAAGTCCGGAAGCGGTCAAAAGCGATCCGGGACCCGCGTAACACCTTGCCTAGTCCTCTCCCTCAGCCGCCGACCGCCAACTGTGGACAAAGTAAAATTAATTATTTATTTTCGCATTTTAAAAAAAGGGACAAATTAAAATTAGAGACAAATACTAAAAAAATGTTAATTAATCTTTTGCTGCATTTTCTGTACTAAGTAGCATTCCATAAAATTCTGGGAAAATTATATAAGCTCTCTAAAATATTGAAAAACTCTCAAAGAGTGAATTCCTAACTTCTAAATCTATTTCTATTATTTCTAAGACTAAAAGATCTGAAATTGAACTCTTGCCTCTTTGTGGATCAACTCCTTACTTGCTTTATTTATGATATAGAGTAATTAAGTGTAAAAAATTTATAAACAAAGTTGATTAAATCTGAATTGAAATAGTGACACAAAAATCCTTAAATTAGATTTATCAGTTACTTCGGTTGCATCACAACTATTATAAAATTAGTGTCTTTCTATATCAATTCGTAAGTTGACTTGAATTTAAAAGGCAGTTATAGGCTATTAAACCTTAAAATGAGAAATTAAAAGATTTTATTAAAATTTTTAGTTAAATTATTCTTTTTGAAAAATAACAGTTTGACCTTTGTGAATGATTGCCATCAATAAGTAATCTTATGTATGTAATTTTTGTTACAATGAGTTGTATTCGGCAATTTAATGAAAAATCCCCAATGATGGACTTTAATATATGATGTAGTTTTATTTTCCCTTTAAATAATTTAATTATTAAAAATTAAGTAAATTTAAATAATTTTGAAAGTTCATTCTAAATTTGACATGCTTAAACTAGTATTTCAAGTTTATTCTCTCTCTCTCTCTCCCTCCCTCTATCAGGGTCTTCTCTCACATCATCCCGTCCTCACGTTTTCTCTCGCATCATTCTACAGATAAGGGAGCCCGGGGCTGACACGGACTGACACGTGGCAGTGACCCTCTGGCTCCTCTCCCCCTAGCGTGTGGCCGCAGGCTCAGCTGATGACCCAAAAGAAGACGAACGGCGGAGCAGCACCTACCCGCCAAGCAAGAAATTTGGCAGTGAGCAGGGAAGAGATTGTAGAGTGAGAGAGAGGGAGAGGGAGAGGGAGAGGGAGAGAGAGAGAGAGAGAGATGGCAGCCGCGGCTTCTTCCCCCTCTTCTTCCTTGTGCGCCACCACGGTGCTGCTCCGGAAGGGGAACCTCAACGGCGGCGGCCGCCTCGCGACGCACTCCCTCTTGTTTGCCACTCGTCCGGGCAAGGCCGCCCAAAGGTGTTTCTCGTCCTCAGTTTCTCATCTCTTGCCTTTCCTTACGTTTCGACTCCTCGATCCTTCAAGGGAATTCCATAGAAGCTCTAGGACCATTCGGGGAGGATTCGAAGTGCCGGGTGTGATGAGAACTGCTTATTTGTGGCCGAAGAGATTTGAATCCCACATCTATCCTGATAGAAGCGGTGGAATTCGATAGAATCTTTGTGTCGCTTGCACGTTTTCTTTCGCACTTGGGAATGATTTTCAGCTTCAGCAGACTATTTTATCTCCGCCTCTTCTTGGATAAAACCTTGTACGTTATGCTGTTATGAGCCTTCAGAACTTATCATTTAGTTGTTCCCAACTGAACGACTGTATACTTTTTCCTCTCTAGATCTGCTCTTTAACCAGATCTTCAGAAGGATCGCCGTCTCCTGTTGATGCCTCCTTGAAAAATTCTAGCCGTCTTCCTCCTGAGATAAAAGCGGATATCCATCAGCTTGCATCCATTTCTTCCAAGTCCCATTGAATTCTAAACAGGGATCTCTCCTGTTTCCCACCATTCAAATACCCGTTGAGATAACACCTCTGTCCTGCAGCTGCCCTAGGAGAGGAAAAGATAGTGAAGAGGGCCGGAATTGATGATTCGATCACAGAACTACACTCTAGATTTTGGCACTAATTACTGGGGAAAAACCCAATAATGAGATAGGTGCCTTTACATGCGACTGCCAATATCTCTCGGAATCAATTTCTCAAAACAACAAATGATGGGATTCTTGATGTAATAAAACATGAAGCTAGACTGGGTAGTTCAAGGCATGCTGGCCCTGCATTTCAATGAGGTTCCTACTATGTTCATCAGATTACTGTTTTGTTAAATACCTGCTCTTTTTTTTCAGTTGACTATAATCAATTGCTAGTAGTCTATTCGAGAACAACTCCATCTTCAATCCCAGGAGTGTTGCGATTGAACTCTGAGAATCGTCCCAATTTTGTGAACTTATTGAAAGATAAAGGAATTCTCGGCCATTTATTGGTTCAAAAATCCTAAAAATCATCCAGATGATTTTACTGATCCTGTTTAATTTATGGTTCAGGAGGAGGCCACAAACCACAGTAAGAGCGACTGTGCGTGTTGATAAATTCTCAAAGAGTGACATCATCGTTTCTCCTTCTATTCTCTCTGCCAACTTCTCAAAGCTGGGGGAGCAGGTTAAATTCTTCAACTTGGAATATATTTAAGAACCCTGTTTTAATATATGAACTCTCATCTTCATCCGAATCTACTGGGAAAAAAATGATTCAGGTGGGTATTTGATATTTAGTCATGTTATTTCTGTGGCTATCTCCTGATGCTTGATTTCCATTCGTTCTCTTTCCTCATTTTTGTAAATTTTCTCATTTGCCTCTTATTAAATCCATCAAGCTATACCTGTATTTTTTTATCATCTTTCTCTATCGTCTTTCTATATCCTGAAGTTCACATGTGGGATATTTACTACTAATAGGAACTAAATCTGCCCCATTGTTCAGGTGAAAGCAGTCGAGGTGGCAGGATGTGACTGGATCCACGTGGATGTGATGGACGGTCGCTTTGTGCCAAACATTACCATTGGACCCCTCGTAGTTGACGCCCTTCGCCCAGTGACTGAACTTCCGTTGGACGTGCATTTGGTATTACTGATATTATCATTTATAGTTTTTTACTTTTCAGAGAAGTTTATCTGGTCGCGGAAAGTATTACTTTCGAGCCATCAGTGTTTCTTCTGTCCAAGCTTTTAGTGATGAAGATCTCATTGTTGCAGATGATTGTTGAGCCAGAGCAGCGAGTGCCTGACTTCATCAAGGCTGGGGCTGACATCGTTAGTGTTCATTGTGAGCAATCCTCAACCATCCATTTGCACCGAACTGTTAATCAGGTATGAACACGGTTCTTCTCCAGCAGCTCTACTAGGCATGCCAATTTTTTTAAAATGGGTGTATGAGATCTCAGCCACGACGATGCTTTTACCATTTTGTCGAACCTGATTGACTCATATAAAGTATCAAGAAAAAATAGCTTGGTTCACCGATAATGAATCTGTTCCTTTAAATAGCAGCGACTGGAAGTTCAGTAATTTCTGAGCAGATTCCTTCTATCATTTCATAAAGTTTATCTTCTGCTTCATTATTCAGATTAAAAGCCTTGGAGCGAAAGCTGGGGTAGTCTTGAACCCTGCCACACCCTTGAGTGCCATAGAATATGTTCTTGATGGTAAGAGCCCCTCCCTTTGGCCTCTGCACTAGGGAATCCTAAGATTCGAGCTCTTCCAATTTGAAAGACCAGTTATTTCCAACTTGATTTGGATATGCTGCCATTGATCCGCACCAAGCTCATATCCCAGTTTGGCTTTTAACAGTGGTTGATCTTGTCCTGATCATGTCGGTGAACCCTGGCTTTGGTGGTCAGAGCTTCATCGAAAGCCAAGTGAAGAAAATTTCCGAATTGAGAAGATTATGCGCTGAGAAGGTACAGCCGAAGAGTGTGATCAATCTGGCCTCTGAACTAAGTAGCTCAAGTTTTCGTACTTTCTATATCTGACCATGGAGCTGATGATTCCAGGGAGTGAACCCGTGGATTGAGGTAGACGGCGGTGTCACCCCATCAAATGCTTATAAGGTGGGACGAAGCCTTTGAAATTTTCTGCATGATTTCCAAAGTCAAGTTTTTTCCATAATTCCTCTCATTTCTACTGACGGGATTCTTCTGGGGAATCTGTGGGTTCCCAGGTGATTGAAGCTGGAGCCAATGCTCTCGTCGCCGGCTCCGCTGTCTTTGGAGCTAAAGACTATGCCGAGGGTAAGATCATAACACTGGTTGTACGATTAGGAAGCCAATCTCATCTCTCTGATCATCTTTTCCGGTGGTGCAGCCATAAAGGGCATCAAGACGAGCAAAAGGCCCGTGGCACTGCCTGTTTGAGTCTTCTGAGTCCTCTAGAACCCAGCTATTTTATTGCCGGTATGTAATCCATCTTAAACCCTAACTCTAAAGTCTAACTGGGATCCAGAAATCTTGGGCCAATTGATCCATTTAATTGCCCGATTTTTTGACGACCCTGTTCATTAGTTCTTGGCTGTTCATCTTCCTGGGGGCTTACTGTGGGACTCTCTGATCTACCTCCTCTGAAGATGGGCAGGTGCCGCCAGATGATCCTCGCTGGAGTTTGGCGGCGCCGTTCAATAATGGGGATCGCAGACTCCCTCTGGTTGGCTTTCATGGGAGTGCTTCAATCCCGGCCCACATATTTTTCATGTTCTTCACCTGTTTTCATAACCCGGCTTCTGCAAAGTGGGCTTGCTCAACCAGGAGAAAAATTATAAATTCTCGTTTCCACCTAAGTTTGCTCCATATTTCCAATGTAACAGGGAATTAGTTACTATATATATATATATATATATATATATATATATATCTGTGGTCCTAGGGAATCCCTACGGGTGAATATCTTCCCTCTATTTGCTGACTTGGAGGAGGATGTGGCATGCCCTATCCGACGTGGCACCTTACAATGTTTCTCATAAATTGAAAAAATAGAAAATATAAATATGACCTATCTGGATTGGGTGCTTTTGACCAGAGAAAAATATGACTCGCATGATTTTCATCAAAGTTTGGACCATATTTTTCATGTATTATGTTGATTACCTAAACCCTTAATAGGGTTTTTATTTACATGCACACGTGGAAGATGTATGGCAGGCCCATATTATTTTTTACATGGCTTTCTTACAAATTGGATAACCGAAATTATAGATATGCCTCATTTATATAACCTATAAACCAATCAATGATATTTAATATATTAATCATTTAACCCTTCTGGCCATTTTTAATTTGAAGAGTACCCCCCCCCCCACCCCCACACACATTCTTAGCCTAAAACCCCAGACCAAAAGAGAATAAAAATTAAGACCCTGTAATCACCAAAATCAGGTTTCATATTTTTTATACCCAAAATATGAGAAATTGTGATAATTTAAGATGGATACCGCTCGATGATTGTCGATTCGATCAGCCCGACCCTTTTCAACTGAGCCAAGGAGGGTCTGCACGGGTCGGGTGGGGCCAAATCGTTGACCCGCTCAGTCCGGTCCCATCCCGATCCGCTTTATAACGGTCGGGTCGGATCCGACGCTATCCCAACGAGTCGGATCGTTGGAAGCCTTTGCCCTTTCATTGGGCCACGTCATCGGCTCATGCTGCCAGCAACATGAAGTCTACGCTGCTGCCGGGGATCGGAGGGGAAGTTGCAGAAGGAAGATGGGCGGTGAGGGGAAGCACCACTACCAGGAGCCATATCCAGGGGCACCGCCGCCACAGGCGTACGGAACATTCCAGGGGCAGGGGTTGCCCCCTTACCCGCCGCCGCAGCCGGCGGTGGGGTTCCCGCAGCCGGTACCTCCGCCGGCGGCGATCTCCTCCTCCCCCGGCGATCCCCCCTACTACCCTCATGGATACCAGACCGTCCAAGGTATTCGCGAGCACCACTCCTCCGTGCTTTTGAAATTCTGTTTCACTGAAGACAATTCGACGGATCGCGATGTTCTTCATCGACGGGAAGAACTTCCCCTTCAATCTTGTGCGATTGATTTCTCAATCACGCGTAAGGGATTTCGTCCAGCCGAATCCCTAGTTACCTTCTGAATTGTGGCTGATGCGCGTGTTCTTAATCGTTTTTTATTCGAATTCATTGCAGCCTCCATATCCTTTTTCACATCTCCGTCCTGATCTGGATCTAATTAGGGGAGGGAGATCTCCATCGATCGTCCAGCCCAACCGCTCATTTCCTAAAATGTTCTTCCTTATGCTCAAATTTCTTTGAAAACGGGGGTTCCATGCCTATCTATTTTGAGATTCCAGCCCTCGGTACAACGGGATCCCCACCAGATCGCCAGCATATTCGTTTTATTTTATTTTATCTTGACTTTTATCTCCCACCGATCTTAGATATATCGCGGGAATAGGTTTCTCCGTCGACCATCTCAAAACCATCGCTCATCTCGTGAATTAATCTCACCCTCTCCATTAATTTCTTCTTTTATTTATTTAATTATCTTGAAAACCAGAGATTTTCACTCCCGATTCCCCAAGAACTTGCATGTGAAGCTCCCGTTTCTGCATCCGTTGACCCTCGCTTGTGCAGCAGTCGCCGAAGGGCACCCCGTGAGAGAGCCGCGCCTCCCCTGCTGCGGCGTCGGCCTGGGCTGGTTCCTGTGAGTATCATCCTCCAGATAGTTACCGATCACAATTATTGTATGGCTGATCCTCCCGTGCCCCGCAAGGTTCATAATCGGGTTCTTCCTCGTCGCCATTCCCTGGTACATGGGAGCGTTCCTCCTCTTCTGCAGCATGGTCGATCGAAGGGAGAAGCCCGGATACGTCGCCTGCACAATCGCCGTGAGTATCAAAGAAAGCCCTCAACTTTCGTGAAGAGAATTTAAATTTCTCCCCCATTTTGTGAGAATTGAGGAAAATATGTTTATGGGGGGTGATCTGATTGGATCCCCCGACCGAGCAGCTCATCTCTCTGACGTTGACTTTTGGACAGGCTGTTCTTGCCACAGTGGCCATCGTTGTCGGGGCAACGAATGGGGGCTGACTCATGATCAGTCCATTGGACCATGCTTTTGTTCTCTGATTTGTGAAATAATCATGGTGCTTTGTGGTAAGAAATCATGTATTAGACTGCGAGCGGACGATTGTTGAACCTTGTCCATCTGTAATTATATTCGGTATATTTTTATGTGTATTTTTATATTATTATATATATATATATAGATATATATCTAGCGAGGTAGAGAGAGAGAGAGAGAGAGAGAGAGAGAGAGAGAGAGAGGGAGGGAGAGATTTACGGTGCTGAATATTAGGGCTTCATTTTTAAAAATATAATCGATTAACGGAGTATATCATTAAACATTAAAAACCAGAGGAGCACGTGCGGGAACCGGTAAGGTGGTTGGTGGGCGAAGGGTATGCTGTTGGCACGTGCGAGGACCCGGCTACTAGGTTGGTGGGGGGGTAGTAGACTGTTGTTGGCGCGCGCGCGAAACCGGTAAGTGGGAGTGGGAGTTGGTGAGAGTAGCGATAGGCGGCTGCTGGCACATGCGGCTGCACTGGTCGGTCATTCCTCCTTAGGATCGATCTTCAGGGTCTTCCTACTTCCTCCGGGCTACCTGCCGAGCGCCTGCGCGGAGGGGGAGGATTCAGAAAATGGCGCCGGAAGCTGCGAACCAGGAAGAGGTAGGAATTCCCGCCGATCTCCGGTTTCCAAGACGGAGATATCAGCCGAAAGCTGTGCAGGAGTTCTGATGTGAACTTGTTAGAATCCATTTTTAGGTGGTTCTTGCGCAGGAGGTGAGCCATGTGAGGGTGCTCACTCTGAACCGCCCGCGGCAGTTGAATGTGATCTCCTCCAGAGTGGTAAGAGTCTGATGTCTCTGGTGATCGTCCGATTTTTCGGGACTTCGTTGTAGGTTCCTGGTGGTAATGTTCTCGAAATATGATGATGAACGCCAGGTCTCTCTCGTTGCCGGCTTCCTCGAGAAATGGGAGAGAGACGAGGATGCGAAGCTCGTCATAATCAAGGTTTTGGGGACTTCTTTCCGGGGTTTTCAGACGATTTCTGATTTCAGTCGACTTGAGAGTGCTGTAGGAATTGTTCATTAATATTTTGCCTTTCAGGGAGTTGGGCGAGCTTTCTCTGCCGGAGGGGATCTGAAGATGTTCTACGAGGGGAGATTAGGTAATGAGAAAGCGAATCTAATCGTAGAACTATGGTAGAATAAGTGCGACTTGGACAGCACATTAGGCTTCCGAGATGACTTAAATGTACCACTAAGCATAAACGATGAGGTTGCTTCCTGATATTGCCTCATTTAAGGCCCTACACCTCCTCTTGGCTTAATTTTCGTAGCAAATTTTAAAATCTTCGTACATGTTTTTCTTTATTTTTCTCCTAGTAGATAATTCATCAACAAATACTCACGGGTGCTGTTTACATTTGGCAGACGACTCATGTCTCGAAGTTGTTTACAGAATGTATTGGTTGTGTAATCACATTCACAGCTATAAGAAGACACAGGTACTGGTTCAATGAGAAAAAAACATTGCTGAAATTGGCTACTTTAGAAGAGTATCATGCGCACCCCGGTTTTGGAACATGTGAGCACTAATCGTGGTCTTCAAACCTCCAGGTATCTCTGGTTCAGGGAATCGTCATGGGAGGAGGTGCAGCTTTCACTGTCCCTTCAAAGTTTTCAGTTGTCACCGAGAAGACTGTGAGAATCTTTAGATCTATGATTGTGTCTCTTGGGGAAGCTTTCTTATGAAACCTTGCTTCAAACACTGTCCCAGTAATTTCCAGATTTCCAGTAATTTCAAACACTGTGTCACCCTCTCCTCCCCTAACAACTCATTTCCAGATGTTCGCTGTTCCTGAGGCCAGCATTGGATTTCATACTGACTGCAGTTTCTCATACATACTCTCACGTCTCCCGGGGCATCTTGGTAAGCACATTTCATTTATGAATGCGATGACACATCAGATGGGCATTCTTTCTATCCATGTGTATATTAATGCTACAATTAGGTGACAATTAGACCCCCCCCCCCCCTTCCCCACAAATCGTAGAGAATATGACGAAATCATCACCAAAATGAGTCGATATCTTTTATTATTACTGAGGACTAATGTGAATAAATTTTAGGGGAATTCTTGGCCTTAACTGGGGCAAGGCTGAGCGGGAATGAAATGGTTTCTGCTGGGCTTGCTACCCACTTTGTTCCATCTGAGGTTTGTGTCCTTTCTTCTTGTTATGTTCCTTGACTTGGAGTGGATGTTGATATGCTTATTTGACGGTAAAAGTTTCATGAACAATCTCTAAGTTTTGTTGCGTTCAAATGCTAAGTGGCGACCTATTTATGAGCTCGAAGCCTCAACTTTATGGCAAACATTCTGAAAAAAACTATGATAAAATTTACACGATACATTTAAGAGTATTATTGACCCATTTACTAAAAACTATTTTGTATAGTTCTGTATGAAAAATGAATTTCTCTTCCAGGTTCCATGGCTTTGGTTTGATTTCTCCATTGAAACCTTTCTTGTGACAGAAATTAAACGAGCTTGAGGAGCATTTGTTGAACTTAAACACGGGAGACGAGGATAAAGTGAGGACGACCATTGAAGAATTCAAAGTAGACGTCCAACCTGATGAAGATAGTGTCTTAAACAAGTAATGGGATTCTGCATTTTACGTAGAGGCTTATGATTATTATTTTTATATTTTATCAGTTGACCTTTGTTCAAATAGGCTTTCAGTGATCAACAAATGCTTCGCAAAAGAAACTGTTGAAGAGATAATATCATCGCTTGTGAGTCTTCTAGAACTTTAAGCTGCCTTTTTTTTCATCTGAAAATTTTCCGTGATGAATTTAGTTGGACTATATCTCAAATTTATTTCAAATTATTATTTTTTTATACAGGCCGTTTTAATGACATATATTATTGCCCTGTATTAGATTTGGTTGGTAAAATTAAACCGAAATGAATCATTGATTTTACTGGGTGACTTTTTTCACTCCATCTTTGTCGAGCTTAAACCAAATATAATCTTCATAGAGGCTCTTAAGATATTTCCATTCATTTGTAGCTAGAAGATAAATCTTGTTAAAGGGAGCATAATGGCCTATTGGTTTCGGGAAATCTAGTGCATTGTCCAAGGAGAATAGCTGCTCCTACTGGGAAAACTATGCGCTAGGGAAGAAGAGGAGAAGAAACTCCACCATTATGGAAACCAAAAGCGAAGAGAAACTTAGAATGCTAAAGATGCGCATCGACAAAAGTTTAAAGAAAATAGCGAAGGGACTTTAAAACAATGGTCAATGGACGAACTCATAATGGAATCAGAGAAACTAACTCTTATCGTTTCAGACATCTGTAGGGCACCTGGGGTGATCTCCAACCAGTCATTTCTTCTCTAGTTCAGCTATTGACAAAGATCTGTGTTCTTGGGCCCAAAGAGGCTTCTTTCTGTCTGAGTTCCTGATAAAAGGTGAACACGATTACCTTTTGTCTTGTCAGGAAGCTGAAGCGGGCTCCGAAGGAAATGGATGGATAACCCCTCTACTCAAGGGAATGAAGAGGTCTGCTCCCACTGGACTGAAGATAACATTAAGATCGGTGAGACCTCTGCCAGCCTAGCGTTCAATTGCTTTTCCCCTGGTGTTGCCTAGCGTGATACCTGTTTTCCTTCTTTGACAGGTCCGAGAAGGCCGGAAGCAGACACTAGCTGAGTGCATGAAGAAGGAATTCAGGCTCACCATGAACATACTGAGATCCGTGATCTCAGGGGACGTGTATGAGGTAAGAGGGAAAATTTCCAGCTTCATTTTAGTCCCTTGATCCATGCGGCCTCTCCGGATCTACTGATCCTTGTTTTCCAGGGTATCCGAGCTCTGACGATCGACAAGGACAATGCCCCCAAGGTTTCCAGCTACCCCGCTCTCTCTCTCTCTCTCTCTCTCTGTCTCTCCCTCTCTCTCTCTCTCTCTATCGCTAGGGCTATAACTGACTGTGCTACGTGCAAACTGGAAGTGGAACCCACCAACTCTGGAGGAAGTGAGCAGTGAGAAGGTGGATCTCGTTTTCCTGCCGTTCAAGGACGAGCTTGAGCTCAACATTCCAGCTGAAGGTGACGCGTTCAGGTAACAAACCCCAACCCATCTTAAACTGCCCACGGGGTCCGTATCGCCTCATCTTCAGCACCTCCATTTGAATAACTGGAGGCATACACATACCATGAGTTCATATGAACACTTAATTATCTTTATAAATAAATAAATAAATAAACAAAAATAGAAGTAGATTCCTTTCCTAGTTCTTTCTTGCGGCAGGGTTGACACCAAGATAATTTTATTTATTTCCTGATTGAGTTCTACTGCCCTAAATCGAGCCAGGTGGACCGGCAAGTACGAGGACTCCGTCTACCCGGAGCTGCAGAGCAAGCGCCGCCAGGTAGAGGCGGCTCCCTAATCCAAGGCCAAGCGGACTCACTCGAGGCTGGTGGTTTATATGGAGCAGCAGCAGTGCCAGCAGCAGGAGGGATCCTCCATCAGGAAAAATAATGCATCCAATAATGGCAAGCGGCCGACTAAGAAAAGCATAGAGATATGTTATATGCGTAGATTCTGTACTGAAGAGAGCGTTTTCTTGGAGGGTGCATGCCGCCATCAGGCATTTTCTCGTACACGAATATCAATCAGACTAGGAAGGTTTGTTTGACCTGGGAATAAGTAGTAGGCCTAGTAAACGGCCTGGGCTGTCTCTGTGTGTGTGTGACTGAAACCAGCCCCTGCTCGGGCCCATCTCTGTAGGCCACACCTAGGGGATGTGACACAGAAGCTCAAGAGTCCACTTTCTTCTCTCACCTATCTTTCTAAAGATCCCCTGCCTGGCACTCCTCTCTCTCTCTCTCTCTCTCTCAAGAGTAACGGTTTTAACGTTCTTCAAAGCCATTCAATGGTCAAGATCACACTGGATCGACCGGAGGGCCCATCCAGTCACAAACAAAAGGACTGCCAAGCAGGGAGACTGGGCGAGCGGCAGCCACCCCCACCCCCCCCCGCGTCCGGAGTGGACACCAACATCGGCCCATTAAACAATATGTCTTGTCGATTGATTGAATGATTTCCCATTGCTTAAAAGATTGTGCACACATTGGAGAGAGAGAGAGATGCAGCTCATCATCATAACATACTCGCCTCATAAATGTGGGCATTAGAGAGAGAGAGAGAGAGAGGAAGTCAGGAAACCAGCGGCTCCACAGTCCCTAGACTCCCTGGAAAGGGAACCGATCCCTGATCGCATCAAGAGTGGCAGCCACATTCTGGGGGAAGGACAGCTTGAATCGGCTGAGAAGTTCCCCATCTTTCGCCTCCGCCGCTGCATCAGCAGCTTCCCTGGCCATGCCGATGCGGTCGAAAGCCTGGCCAAAGTGAAGAAGCAATCTGAGCATCGGAGCTCACAGCCAAAGAGGGTGCGTGCATGAGAATCATAACTTCAGGAGGGAGGAGGAGATGAAGTTGAGTTGACAACTTCAGAGATCTAGAACGCGTCTGGTCGGCGTCCTTAGCTAGAAGGTTCCGGGGAAAGCTAGGGGAATTCATACCTCGGCCTTTTCCCGGGGATCAGTGAGCTTCGGGATGTATTTGAGAGCTTCAGCCTTCTCGCCGGCGTTGATGCACGCCTCTACAAACGGCTTGAAACCTAGGAATTTCAGAGACTATTCTTTAGATGATGACGATGATGATGATGATGATGATGATGAACTAAAGAGGGAGATTTGAAAACGCGACGACGTGCAGTCATGTGAATGAAAAGAAAAATATATATTAGAATATCGGGAAAGAAAACTCTCATTTTATCATCATCAGCAAGCTCGGCCTGATTTGAGATTTCGATGCGTCAGGTGATGAACTAAATGGACGACTTTTTTATAAGTGCAATGATGGATCGTAGTCTAAACGAAAATAAAACAAAAATGATGGGTCGTAGTGTAAAGATAATTGCCACTTTTATCATCAAGAATGCTTCGACTTGATCACTGCAAGCAAGGTTAGGGTTCTACCCTGATGGGACTAGAAGAAAAGGGAGGGGTGCATGCTTCAACAAAGAGTTCGAATGATACCAACTGGAGATTTCAATGCATTGGATGACGAACAAAATGGACAATTTTGAAAGCCCAATGCTGGATAGTAAGCATTGGGAAAGAAAACTCCCCAGGAACGCTTTGATCTGGTCATTACAAGCCATGTCAGGGTGGTTCTACGCTGGTGGGAGGGAATATAGCAGAGTTGGGAGCGGGCTATGACAACTTGTCCCCCCATGTCTAAATAACAAGCCTTAAATTCTTGGCTCTTCAACTATAGTCTTCCAAATTTAGAGCAATCTTTGATTGTCTACTGCAGCCTGGAGGAGTCCTGAAGTTTGAGACCTCTTCATCGCGAAAGTGATTTCAACTGTGAACGGAAGACTGTTTGAAGCTTTCAGAAGACTCGAGTAGGGTACCTTCTCAGGTAACTTTGCCGTTTCTGGTGACTGATACAGTTTAAAAGGCAGAAAAGTAGGGTATATTATCTTCTGATTAATCAAACCTACGCTGGTAAAGATGCGTCCAAGCCATCGTGAATACTACAGATCTTGATTCACATCATGAACCAGAGGTTGACTAATATAGTGGGTAGGAATCACGGCCTCCAAACCCTGTCCATTGCAGAGAATAATTAACTGGAAGTAATCAATCATTCAAGCCACGATTATGATGGATAACATAGATTCATCCATTTCTGTGATCCCCACATCAAAAAAAAATCACATTTTTGTCACCATATAAAGATCGAGTCTGAAGGAGGTCGCTGAAAACATTAGACGTCATAAAACTTCAAAAGAAAAAAAAAGTGGCGAAAAGTTATTGAGATGAACAGGGGAATCAGAGTTAACTCCGGAAGCAAAGAAAATAGTTATTGAGACGATTACCGAGTGAAAATTGCATTACAGAATATAATAAAGGATTTGGGAAAACCATAAACCCTACCGGTTGGAGGCCTCTTCTCCTTGGAGAACTTTTCCAGAGCATCCCAGTCTCTGATTGTTGCCAGAGCAGACGACTTCAGCCAGTACCATCTTTTCTCAGAAACCTGCAGAAGATAGCCATTGAAAGAGAGATTCAATAACAAGAACCCTGCGACTGATTCACGCAAGGTAGTCAGGTAGGGAACGCTAACGACCTTGAAGTCCTGTTTTACTCTCGTTGCAGCACGGTGGTTACCCAACACGATACATGTGCAGATTGTATCACTGATACTTGAGTCAACAAATATAGCCTGTTTGGTTGACACTTCTAGTTCATGTTGGACCCTGAAAAATTTGGCACAGGAGACCGTGCATGAGAAAGAAAGAAAAAAACCCCTGGCCCACGTACTTCAACATGGGGTCCTCTTAAAGAAGCATGCACACTTTCAGCCTTTCAATACATTTAATTTAATATATAGAAAATTAACGAACGATAACTTTTCGAAGAAAATCGTTTCTCTATTCTTCTAGTTCTGTCACTAAAAATTAAGCCGATTTTCGCCATGACCAAGTTTCAATGCTTCTCTTGGTGACAGGCAGAGGATTGTCAGATGTCGAAGAAATTGCAATGGATGCCGGCTTCCTCAGATATCCATGGCACCATTTTTGGCCATCTTCGATACAAACTGTTGATAGTATCTTGGCCGCAAGAAAATCCAAGTTTGGAATAGAATAATTTGTTTTCATGTGAAAGCACATAGCACATAATTGTCTTCTCTAGTGCTTCTACTTTCCTCTCTCAAACTAGTCATCTTAACCAAAAGAAACGAGAAAATCGAATGCTTCTCTATCTCTTAGCCAGAAAGACAGGTTCCTAAATCCCAGTATCACTTAGACTTGGGAGACTGAGCAACAAGAAAACAAGGAACAGAAGGGAAAGGAAGAGGGATGAAGAAGTTCTAAAAAGGCTTTCCAAGCTTTAGTGATAATTGCATATGTGCTCAGTTGGAGCTACAATTGCGAGTTGAAGAAATTTAATAAAAAAGTGGTGGCCATGTTGTAAACGTAGCAGAAAAAGAACGAGCCCTGCGGTAAAAAGTTAACAGGGCCGAACGTGGCACCTGACTCTGCAAATCAAACAATTTGAAAAATGATGATTCCTAGATCCTTCTGTCCAAAAATGTATTTTAAAAGAGAAATGAATTCAAGGAGGAATATCGCTAACAGAACATGACCACCTATTAAAAAATATAAGGGCAATAAGCAAAATGTTTTCTTGGAAATGAATAAATAAAAGCATGTCTGCCAGGTTCTACTTCGAAAAGACAATGAGACATGATATTAAAAAAAAGTTTGATTCTAAATACAGTTTTTCGTGCGTTACTTCAACAACTTTGCATGTTCTTCAGCGGCCTTTGATTCAAAGGCATGTTCCTTGGTCTCAGAGAAAAGTTTATGTGCCTGCTCTATAACTCTTATGCGTGGACCCTGTAAAGGAGATCCAGATCCTTTGCTTGCCGACAGATTATTACCTATTTCCCATGATTCTTTCAGCAAGAGGTAGGCCACATCCTACAAGAGAAGCTTTCAAAAGATTATAAAAAGAGCAAGGAGAAAGCATGCATTTTATGCATTAGTCAAGCATTAACATAGAATACAGAAGCGGCCAGGCGTTTGAGAGTAGAAATTTCAGGACAACGGAAAGAAAACTTTGAAGAAAAATTTCAGGAATGAATGGGACTGAAATATAATGTCCATTGTATTTAAGACATGAATGAAACTGTGCCCTTTTATAAGAAGTGACATATCTTTGTTATCATGTTCCTTCTGACATTGTATAAATGAATTATAGGAGCCCTGGCCTGTAAAAATAATAAATCATGAATTAGGTTAGGAGTCGTATGAAAGAGTGCCAAATTTTTTTCATATATTCGAAGCAAGGATTGTCACATAGGAAATTTTTCATGTTTAGTCTTGTGAGCTCTGGTCCTTAGCAGAGCTAGTTTGGCAGAGGAAATTAATCCAAGTGAAAAATTTTAAAGTCACTTCATAAAAAAAAACGAGGAAATTTAATGCCATAAGACAGGACGATAATTCATACATACATGGAGCTGACTGATTGATAAAAAGAAGTCCTTCAAAAATTCATGTTTATAACACCTACAAACAAGAAAGCAAGAAATCATTCAACGTCAATGATCATCTTCATCAAGAATCATAAGAGTCAATCTGAGTATTGCAGGGATGAGATGCATTACCGTGCATATGTTATGAACAAATCACGAACCAAAGGCTTTGCATGAATCATTCCGAGAAATTCTAAAGGAGATTTCTGCAGTAACAAACAGAAATCAGGCACGTGCACATTTTCTACAGCAAAACTAATATGCAACACGCGAGAGGAACAATGTTAAATGGCATATGTAACAAGCAAAATCAAAAGGAGTGAGACAAGGGACAGGATTTTAATGCTTAATACCTTCTGCCACACATGAAAAAGAACAAGATAAACAAGATCTGTATCACCACTTTCAGATGCCTTCATGAAAGTGGTCTCATCTTCTCCTATGCTTAATAACAAAGGAACCTGGTTTGAATGGAGACAATTTCAATACCCTCTCTTATCTCCCTAAGAAAATAAATTAGAAACAAATTTCAGCTTCGTAATAAAAACCTGTTTAGAAGAACGAGGTTCATGGTCAACAAGCATGGCTGCCAATTTTCTTCTTCCAGAATTATCAGCATGTGCCGCAATAGCTGCATAAGATATGCCCTTGCATAACTTCAACTGAAAAAACCAAAACCTCATATCAAAAGCTTTTCTTCCCAAAACTAGGTAACGACATGTGTTGTCTTCTCAATAAGTCTCAGGTGAGGAATTTGAACCTTGTCAAGCAAAATATCAAGGAGATCAGCATCATTACTGGCCGAGGAAGCTGCTATCTTTGCACAAGCCCAATGCATTATAACCACCTCCTGCACAAGAAAACGACAGAAAATGGCTATTCAGCTTCTAAAAATATATGGATTCTTCATGGTAGGGAAAAGGCTGAAAATCGAGACACTAGTAGTTTTCTACAGACGGGTTAGAAAAAACCAAAACCAGAATTTTCATGCACACGACTTTGCTCTGAAAATAAGCTAAAACGAATCATATCCTTCAGTTCAGCATTACTCTCAATGTATGACTGGAAATTCCTTATAAAGTTTATTTTAAGAGTATGGTGCTTCATAGCGCATTCAAAGATTTGGGCTACAAAATTGACGCCAAAGGACTGCAATTCATAAACGAAGTTCTAAGGGAATATCCTGGGGTTCTCACCAAAGAACTGGAACCAGCTGAGATATCAACATAAAAAAATCGCTTCAAAAATCAAAATTTAGACACAGCCATCCTTTTACAACGAGCATTCTCCTAAATTTTTTATGTTTGCCTACCATTATAGAAGGAAAACTCAGTAAACTGTAAGAAAGATAATTATTTCATTTTGGGATAGAAATCACTAAGAACGAACTTTTGACTTATTGAAATCAACATTTCTTACATAAACAGAAACAATCCATATATGCATCATGAACAATCTCAATCACTTCATAATCGATCTCAATTTTGTCCCCATTATCTTTGAAGCAACACATGGACCACACAACAGTCGTGCTCTTGCTGAAGAGCGCAAGAATACACTGCTGATTATATTTGTGCCATTTGTGTAAAGATTTCAGACATTAAAAAAAGGAGAAGTTAAGACATTGTAAACCTAGTGTGTCTATCTGACAGCTGTTTGATGCCCACTAGCAACCTCGAACGAAGTCCTCCATAGTTCAGACCTTAATGACGGTAGCTCTTGACTTCATTTGTTCACATTCAACTGGTTAAGCTTTACTACAGCTGCCCCATTAGTTTTCAGGAGAGAGCACTGAATTGGTACCATTTATGAACTCGGTAATCCAAGAAACTCATACGTATCGACCTGACACGCGGGACAGGTCCCAATAGCCTTAAAAATAAAAAATAAACATTAGATTTTTTTAAAGATGGACTAATAAATTTTAAGGCTGAATATAAAATACTTTTAGCATGAAATATACACGACAGTAGAATGTTTCGGGAGTAAAAATTGATTCTGAAAAACCCACAAAATGTACCACCCTACTTGCTCTTCTTTGATAGGAAGAGAAAAGGAAAACTAGGGGGAGATGTTGACACTTGTGGTCAGCAGGGAAAACAGGTATAGTGCAAGAGGAACAAGTGAACAACGTAAGTTTCCACACACTCTATGTCCTCATATCTTTTATCCTACCATATGATGCATAGCAGTACATAAAGTACTGCGAGATGTTGACACTCCTGGTCAGCAGGGAAAAAGGCTGCGGTGCAAGAGGAACAGTGAACAGCATATGTTTGAACCAACTCTATGTCCTATATCTTTCATATCCTACTGTATGATGCATAGATGTACATAAACTTTCACCCAACTGTATCCTCTGCGCTTTAAAACATTTGCAACAAAACATGCATAGCTGTTATGTTGCCATATGTCTCTGTCCAATAAGAATGGTTGCATTAAACAATCCCACATGTGATGGTAACGTAATGATACTACCGACTAACATAACCAGGAGTTGAATGCATGTTATCACAAATCATTACTGTGGCAACTTCATCTTAATGAATTGCTCAGGAATACACGAAAACCTTCAAAACAAAGACAGTAACACCAAGCCTATTAAAATTTAAATTTCAACAGCAGAAAAGAATACATCACTGTTAAGAAGCTCACTGGATTCATGTTAAGATGCTCAGATATCCGCAATGCCAAAAGGTGTTGGTGGGCATTGACCAAACGTCCAATAAGAACAGATGGTGTGAGTAACTGCAGCAACAAGCAAACACTTAGTCAATGTTATGGTATACATATGATAACAAATTGATGTGCTTACTAATTGGTCTAAAGACCTTGTATTGTTGAATGCTGAGAGGAATGCCAATCTCAGGGTCACGCACAGCATTTAACACTCTTAATGTCTTGCACATTTCTTGAAAGTGATCACGCTGAAACTGACTGCCAAAGACAACTAAATATCATTTTCCAGAAAGGCAATCAGAACTTCACTGTAGATAAATTGCTTTTCCTGAATATCACATTACATGGTGAACCAAGCATTATATTAGGGATGATTGCTCTAAATTTTGGCATTCGAACAGAAGTTCCGTGAAGAGAAAATACTGACATGGATCTTTACACTGTATAAGTAAATCATTATGGACATGAAAAATACATTCATAATAATGTGAAGGATATAAACAGTGGGGAACAATAACAATAGTACTACTATGGGAGTCAATGTTCTAGACAAACCCACAGGCCCAGCCAACTTCGTATAATGCTCCCATGGCATGTGGCATCCACCACCTCTACCCCACTCTTTATTTAGTTGTCCAACCCTCCCCCACCCCCATATTCTTTAGCACCTCAAGCACAACACCCTGCCCTGGCAAACCCGCCTCTCCCCCATCCTTTTCTCTGCTCCACCCCTGCCAGTGTCATCAAGTGACACCCACTCCCCACATTTCCCGGCACACCTTAGCCCTCACCTCCCATTGTATGCCACCTAGCGTCCTCCTGTACAACCCTACCTTTGTTGCACCATAGCTTACGACAGTAACCTACACATGATCCCCCTCCCCCAGCAGTCCCGTTTAGCAACGACCTGAAGGCATGCAGCTGGCAAGCCTGGGTCTGCACAAGGTTTTCTCAGCTCAAAATATCTTTCTCGGCTTTTCTTCAGGCCCTGGCTGAGACTCACAAGCCCTACATGCATTCTGCCAGCTGACACCCCTGTCTAATCAAATCCTTTTAACTACGTAAAAACTGATTTTTCCCCTTGACCATTGCATATTCTGCTAATTGGTAATACTATTGTAAAACTATGGATCTACATCTCAATTAAAATGGCTATGCATAACTACAACTCATGTCATTATCAACTAGAGAAGAATCCTTATTTGGATTTAACTGGTAATATTCTATAGAAACAAAATCTTTCCTCCCACAAAGAAGACACGTTCATAAATGTGTACCACAATAAATGCTAACCTGCAGAATGCCTGTCCGTAGCTAGCAGCTCTCAGTAGTGTGCGTTGGCGTGAAGTATCATATTCATGTCCAGCAGCATCTATGCAAGCCTCCACCGCCTCAGGTAGTGAAGAGCGAATGAGTCGCAAATTTTCATCAGCCTGTCATTTGAAATATTCCACCAGTAATTCTCCCATGTTCCCCGGGAACGTATAGACAGGGTTAATAAAAAAAAACTCCAAACATTCCATCATATAAAAGAAACTGAATGACATTTACATAACAGTGAATTCTATTAAAAATGGTTACACATATAAGTCATTCAATCTTCTAGTTACTAAAATTAGACAAAAGTGGAAAAAAACGAAAACAAATAGGTGGCCCAGATTGGCTTACTTAGAGGGAAATGTAAGTACATACAAACTAGAGAAAAGGTGATGAACGTGAACTACTGCCAAATGACAATTCAGTAAATCAATACAATGAAGCTATGCCACCTAAAACCCAATATGAAGGTTAAATTCTCAGAATTTATCTGATCACGATATTCACAGAAATTGGCTTTACAAAAATGGTAGAGCTACCAACAAACTTGTTAAGGATCTACAGTCTTGTCCAAGAATTTCACTAAATTAGAACCATTTTACCGATCTCTTCTTCATTATTCGGACCTAATTTCTTCATCATAACAAATAATCATTGGCCTTCCCTTAAAGAATTGTGCAAAAACGTCGTTCAAGACTCCAACATGAAATAATGCCATCTAGCATGTACAATTATGCCTCCCTTTATCAACTTTACATGCCGTATAAGATATCCGACAATGCCCCACCTTCGCCTCTATTATCTTTAAGAGAATCTCCCAAAACACCAAAAAATGATGTCATTGCTGTGCAACCACTTCAAAATGTTTACATTTCAGTTACAAATAATATGGCATCATTGACTCCTTCCATTCGGCTATTTCATTGGTCTTAGTTCCTTAAAGAGTCAGAAGGTTTCTCTAATAGTACACGTAATCAGGTCATTCCCTAAATCATCTTGAAACCACACCTCTAAACTGCAAGAAACTACTTTAAAGCATAGCACACAGCCTGCCTATTCTAGATGACCTGGCTGGTAGATTTAACAAGTGTTTGGGAAAAAATGCCATATAAAATGAGACTAAGACAAAAAGAAATTATAGCTTTCAGTAAAGGACACAGGCTGAAAATACAAAAAGAAAAGGAACACAAGAGAAGGAAGCTAACTCACTAGAGAAGGTCCTCCAAATGACATTTCTTTAAAACGTAGCAAGAATTAATAGCAATCTGGTAAGGACAGACATGTACCTTAGCACTGCGCCTATCAAAATGCTCCAAGGCATCATACAATAAGGCCGCTGGTTCAGTGCTTCCGATTTGAAAGATGGATACTGTAGAGTCAGGAACTCGTTGCAAGAGCTCCATGCTAGAATTTGAGAGAATCCGTACGCCATCACATTCAGAAATGAGAACTATGGGCTCATCGTACTGGTAATGTACTGGATCCCCATGAGGCCCAACCATCAAGAGTGACTCTTCCCAATAGAGAAGTACACTGTCCATTCCACACCAAGCCATTTGCTCAGGAGGCAACGTCGTCTGAAAGAAACAAAGGAAGAATGTGATGGTTAATCACACGAGATTGAGAGAAAATAAGAGTCAAAAAAAAAATCCATCCAAAGAGCATCTATTCCGTGGTTTCTAGACATCAGTGGATACATAAATGAAAGAAAGGGCATTCTTGCAATGGTGAGAAGTCACATAAATGATTCTCAACAGAGAAACTTCAAAAAAAAAAAACTACGAAGTCAGCCTATCGGTTTGAGATTTTCATCGGCGGCACATTTAACTAGCCCACGCAAACGAATATTGGAAGCAGAAACATGGCTAGAACAGCAGTAAGATAGAACTCAGAACTTGTTTCCCCAGAAAACAGGCAAGTAAATTAATCATCAGCATAGCGTCAGCAAAGCTTTCTTCCTCTGGTGCTCATGTTCAACGCGGACTGTATGAGCTAAGACAACGGAAGGAGACCAGTACAGGATAACGGAAGTCAGCTGGGGAAGTCGGGATAGAGACCTCGCAATTGTATTCGAACATGATCCTGGAGAAGTCGGTGGTAATGACAAGCAACCTCCCGTCATCTGTGAACGCTGCCAGCATCCTCCCATTTCCGGACACAGCCATCTTTGTCACCCTCCCAATGCCAGTGCCAAACCGTTGCACCCCCTCCTCATCCACCATCAGCACCCCGTCCTCCGCCGCCACCCCCAGCAGCACCTCAACGTTCCCCGACATTGTGTACTGCGGCTCGATCACGGCCATGCAACGGGGTGCCTCCGAGAGCCCCGCGTCTGCCAGACGACACGGCCGCGGCTCCGACAGATCGGGGACGCAGAATAGCTTGTTCTCCTCGGTCCTGCACACTACTCCTCCCCCCCAGAAGACACACTCCGCCACGCTCTCCTCGAAGCACTCCTTTCCCATGGAGAACTGAGCCCCCACCGGCTCTGTGCGGACGTCGTAGCGGTAGACGGTGCCGTCCTGGACGATGCAGGCAAGAACGTGCGCGTCGCTCCACGCCATCCCCACAAGCCGCCCCCCGGGCCTGTCCCAGGGGGTGGAGGCCAGAAGACCCCCGGCGGAGGAGAAAACTCGAAGCCGGCGGCGGGCGGACTCCGCGTGCAGCTGTACGATCTTCGAGTCGTCCCTGATCGCCGCGATCGGGCCCCCGAACGGCGCGCAGGCCACACGGTGCCGCCGAAGATCAACTCCGACGCCGCTGCGAATCGCCCAGCGCATCGCGTACAGCTCCGGCTTCCGGTAGTACCTGTTGTGGAGGAGCTGCCATTCCGCCGCCACCGAGACGGCCGCCATCGCCGGCTCCGCTCCCATGCTCTCCGATCCCCCTCCTCTTCTCCTTCCCTCTCTCAGATCTCAAATCTCCCGAATTCCCCGCCGCGCCGCCGGTCCCCACCGTCCTCGGCGGCGGAGGGAGCTCTCCCGGCCGTCCTGACGAAGGGGACGACGAGTTCATCGTGAAATTAACCATCCCTGATTCGTACCGATCTGGACCGCCGGGTCGGACCGATTCGCATCTTCTTCTCGCATCCCCTTTCCGACCCGGATCGCCCGATTCGTTCGACATACGGGGCTTTTGTGAAACATTCATGGGCCCAATAGACAAAGTCCATGACACGAGGATACGCACTTTTGTGGAAAAGTCCCTGCTCCTGGAGAAGGTCAAGAACACGCAGCTGCACAGTCAAAAAACAGGAGGGAAAAGCTTCCCACTCCACGTACAGAGGAACAGATGCTCGCTCCATGGGAGAAGAGCGGGCGGAAGGGAAGGGGGAGGGAGAAACTTTTCCATTTTTGGCTGCAAATCGGGAGGGAACTCTGCACATTATTGGAGAAATCCTCACGAATTCGGAGCGAGAGGGAGATCCTGCGACGGATTTCATCACTTGGAAGATCTTCTTCACTTGGTCCTGGTGAGGACACGGCGGGTGAGATCGATTAGAGCTCGCCGGGAGATGACGACGTCGTCGGCGTCGCTCTCCGGGAGCGATTCGATGGCCTCGGCAGCGCGGCCGGCGTGCTCCGCCGCAAGCTCCCTCGTCCGCTGGATCCCTCGGCTCCTCCCCAGGTAATCAAGCGCCTGCATGGTGAAAATCGCAGCGGAGTCAATCGATCGATTCCTTGATTTTATTCAAGAACAAAAACAAAGACCGGCGGGATCGCAAGTGAATGCTTCCCACGAGATCGTCCACAAACTTTGGAACTCCACTTTTTTCTTTGATTCAGTTCCCCAGAACTCAAAATCAAGCCCAAATTAATTCTCTCACTGATTTAGGGTTTGGGACCCCAGCCACAGAGCCTCCTGAACTTACCAGATCAACATTTGCAGGGTCCTCAAACCCTTGATCGACGACCTTCTGCAACTGGGGGAACTCCTCCATGGCGAACAATATAGGGGCTGTTATGATTCCCTGCGGATGGATGCTCAAACAGGTAAGAGCATGACGAGGCAATCTCATCACCTAGATTGATTGCAAACCAAGGGGTAGAAAAATTCAGCAAAATATAACGAAAAACGAAGCATGATCTACAACATCCCGCTTAGCCACATGAACATCCTCTGTTTCACCCTCTTCAAATCATAGTCCTTTCAGAACACAGATAAGGAAGACAAAACTTTGGTGCGACGCCATTACTGACTGCACTAGAAAGAGGAACATTACGTGGCGAATGTCTGTTAAGGACCCTTTCCCCAGAGAGGCCGATGTGCCGGTGAAATCAAGAACATCGTCGATCAACTGATACGCCAAACCCTGAAGCACAGCAGCAAATCTTTGCATCAGTTCTTCGCGTTCATCGCGATCCGACAGGAAGACCGCCACAGACCCTGCTGGGGGAAGGGGAACTAACCAGATTTCGGCCATAGTCATAAGCAAGCACAGAGACCTCTGCTGTGTGGCCTGCCAAGAGGGCGATGGCTTTGCAGCTGTTGGAAATCAGTGAAGCTGTCTTATAGTATGTCTTCTGCAGGTAGTACTCCATGCTGCTCAGACATGAGAAACAGTGGCACATAAACACATGATAATACACTTAAAACTTTATAGCAAGGAATATTATGTCTAAGAAAATATGAGTAAATTTACTGTGAACCCACTGTGGATAAGATAAATTTATGCTGGGCTAAAACTGGATATTACTCAGAAAATGTGGAGGAAGAAGAAAGTGAGATAATCAGCAAGACACTGAGTTATCATCCCAATATACCCACATGCTTCCCATCTTATGCATCCTCAGATATTTAGCATACCATAGCTGTCTATGTAGAACTTCCGAGAAAATATGAACAATAAACAAGAGTTGTGAAAGGGGGCCCATTGGATGTCCAAGCTTTCCATAATTATTCAGTGTGGGAAAAGGAAACCATTCTTCTTATAGAGTAAAAACCCTACCTTCGACGTTGCTCAGATGTGCTGGTCATCTGCATGGTTTCACCCGTCACTAGGTGTTCCACAACAGTCGCTAGTAAAGATACGACCTGCACAATCAGAGGTGAAACTGAGCACCAACCACCAACTATAGTGATGGTCCCAAGATACAAGCGCATTTGTATAATGTTGTTGTTGTATATATGTAGCTAAGAAGGCATTATGCCAATGATTACAGCAGAGGAAACACAGCCCAAAGCATGAATTCCCCAACTAAGATCTCGAATCATCCTTGGACACCAAGATTTCCAATATTCCAACCTTATTTTATGGTATCAATGGTCTCCGACCAGGATTTTAAATAGAGTTTGAACAGCATATATCTCCACATTCGAACATGGTCTCAGTTGGGTTGCCATTTCCTATAATGGTATGAAATCTTGGTATCTTCTGTGTGAGAGAGCAGAGAAGCAGCATTTCTTGAAGGAATATAGCAAGGAAAGCATAAGGCATGTTGAAGATGGCAATTTACCTCGGTGTTTTTCAATGAAGCAAGCGCAACACAAGCTCTGGAGAGTAAAAAATCCCCCGCAAGAACAGCAAGCTGAGGCAGACATAAAAACTCAAAGACTTGTCTTCCAACATAAAAATCATCTTACTAGGCCATCCAATCGTCTGGTTGATACACATAAAAATATATATATATCAAGAACTGAACCAAAAATGCGAAGAACTGAACCAATCCGGGATAACAAGATGAAGTAAAAAAATAAAAAATAAATAAAAATCCTTGATACTTCAAAAATCATATGATCATCGCAGCCCTAGCAAGCATAGAGATGCTCTAGATACCTTGTTCCCCATCACAAAATTCAATGAGCCAACACCACGCCTTGTTTCTGCGTCATCCAATACATCGTCATGCAGGAGACTGGCCACCTGCAGAACAAGTGAGAGCCAATCAGCAAAATGAGGAAGAGTACAAACCCACGTGTATATAAAGACAGTGAAGAAATAGGCATGTGGGTAAACAAGAACGTAGTTAAAGCTAACCAACATGAATCATCTCAGTGATTTCTGCAATGCACTGCTGCTTTGCGCGTGTATCTTTGTACAAAGTATGAACTGCATCATTGGCAGAAGAATTTGGCAATGTAACATTCAGGGCAGATGCCATGAGCAGCAGGACCTACATACAACCAAAAAAAATCATCATTGGTGAAAAAATACCCATGAAAAATCAAATGCTAAAATGAGACGAACCTAAAGGTAGAGATTGATAACAGCTATCAACTATAATCCCCAAGTCTTGGAACCTACTAATACAGTAAAATTCAATGTAGTTCTTACTGTGGGGCGGAATCTTTTGCCTTCAACACCCATCTTGAAGAAATATTCAGCACCAGATGCCAGCTTTGGCACCTGTGGACGGAAAAAAAGCAATGTTAATTTGCTTCAGAAAAAGCCAAAAAGGAAATTGGACAAGAAAGAACAAAAGCCATTGGACAAGATGTACATCAGTATAACAGGGAGAACTTTGAAGCATGTGATATCTCAGAATACAGTTCAGATTAGACCAAGACTCTAAAATTTAAATGAACCCAAAAAAAAAAGAAATCAAATAGAAATTTGGCAGACCTCAGCAACAACCATTGAACGCAATCTATTGGCAAGTATTGACAGTTCATCGGCAACAAGGGAAAATGGGTCCACTGATTCCTGGAGAAAAGATTAAAAATGGAAATTCGTAAGAATGCTTTATCAGGGATTAGAAATAGAACAGAACTCTGATACAAGGAAAGCATAAGCCTTCTCATGGGAAAAACATTCATGCGCCCTCTTTGAAAATAATACATGAAAAACTTTTGGTACATCAATTTATTCCTTAGTAAGTACATAATTGATAAATGAAACCCATAGGTGCCAAAATATTTTCCTCCACATCAGAGCAATTGAAAATAAATCCATTAAGTACCAGTATGATAATGTCTATGGAACTTAGTGCATCCATACCCTAGTCCGAAAAAATAAGAGAGAATGTATATGAAATAATTTCTTTCAGCACCATGGCTACGAAAGGGCAGATGCCAAAACTCGTGTGCATTGGAACGGCAAGAACTCTGCGACGAGATCATACTCAGAGCTGACGCCAAAAGAGCAGAAGAAAAGGCAGAAGCGGTAGGGAAAAGAATTTCATTAAACCTAAAGGAGAAAAAGAGTTGATACAACCGATGAATGACAGCATAATGAAAATGCAACATGCGGTTTTAACAACCGAACTTTAGACAGGAAACCATTGTTGATCGTGTTTAAGGTATACTACCTCATCCAGGGAGCCTCTATCTTGATCAAGTTGATACCTCGCATCATGGTAACTGTGAGAACCACAGTAGTAGGTTCCTCTACGATTCAAAACCTACTGAACCACGGTAAAATGTGTAACTACAAGGCATCTAACAAAACCACACTAAACACAAACACAACATCAATTAACAATGAGAATTTCAATGAATTTTTGGTCTCATCCATTTCAATAATAGTAATAAGGAACCCTGTCAAGACCTACAAGCAGGTCTGAGCACAGATTATATGCGGCAAAAGCATGTATGTAGTTGTGGTCATTTGTCAAGACATGCATTGGGTGTATCCAGGTTTCTTTTGAAATCTCACATAATCAAATATATTGCATATCTTAAATGGTATGCACTGAGATAGGTTAAAATAAGACCCTACAAGAAACCTCATGAAATTATAAAGCAGAAGGACAAACGCCTACCAAATAAAACTCAAGTGAAGAGGAATAACAGCTCAGATAAAAATAGAATTATGGCATCTACTTCTAACAACTTCAGAATGTTTAAGATAGCTTCATATTAATGACGTCATAGTCATTTCACAAAGACTCATGGACATGGAAGTATAGGAAAATTAAGTATAAATAAATAAATTAAATGGATCTCCATTGTCTATCCTGTGCTCTCTTGCATGGGAAATTGAAAAGCAGAAAGTATATTGAATCTCAATAAAATACCTTCTGATGTATTTCAGTTTCCTATGAAATCTATGCACCAGGGAGAGTAGCACGTTCCCCGATATGGCAAAAAATCTTCAGGACCAGAAGATAAGATATTGAGAACAAGCATGGCCAAATTTACAGCTAGGAATAACCACAAAATGGGTCATATAACTTTCTATCTTTGAAGTTGCTTCAATCTCGGACCAGCTTTTCTCGTTAAAATTAATTGCCTGCGCCCCCATAAAAACTCCAAGAAGGGAGACTGCATCACTAGTTAATATGTGAACACGAGTAAAAACTCCCTAGTTAATATGTGAACACGCTCTACGTCCTGGGAAACGTGGCTGTGAACAGCCCAAATGTCCAAGAAGGGAGACTGCATCACCTCTGTGGAACTCACATTCCAAGAATTAATCAATATAGCTCCATAGAATTCTCCAACATTCTAAACAAGTTGCTGAAGAAAAGATGAACAAAGGCAAAAGTGTAGACACCAACAATAAAACGTGGGCACTGTCACGAATATCATTCCATGAGTTCACAAGCAGCACTATTTCTGCTGTGGGAAAAACTATCCGGGCACGAGGACTTTTTTCGGGAGTCAAGGGACCAAAAGGCCGCATTTCTATGATCGTGGCACGATAACATCTTTTCCATACGATGACATTAACATGTTACAATAGAAAGAACTGTCCAGCGTCAGATCCACCAAAACCGTGGCATTCCTGAAACTACTCAGGATAGATGACCTTACAGCCACAACAATGGCAACAATGGAATGGGGGCACCTTTATTTTCGGCCAATCATTATCATCATCCACACGCCCGCAAAGCGACCGGAAGGCAGGGCCACACAGGCCTTCTTACCACCTCTGAACACCGCAAGATCGCGATTCCCCGAAATCCCAACAGCAACCACCCTCCCCCCCAGCGCGCGCATCTACTCTGACTACACCGGGACACCAAGATCAAAACGAAGAAGATACCTTGGGCACAACGGATCCGGCCGGCGAACGGAAGCCCTCGGCCGGACTGCTGCAAGCCGACGAGGAGGAAGAGGCGGCCATGCCCGGTGAGAGGGCCCTCGGGAGGGGTCCCCGCAGGATAACCGGCTTCCTGAGGAGCTGCCGCAGGAGCCCCATGAGAGCAGAGCAGAGCGGCGCAGAGGAGAGGGGAGGGCGGCGGAGTGGGAGCTCGGCGGCTGCGTGGCACACCTGCCTACGTTTATTTTCACGTTTGACCTCCCCCCCTCCTTCGGCGGACCAGGGGTTCTCCGAAGACCACGTTCTCTCTCTTCACGCTCTGCTCTTCCCACTCCGTGCTTGGCTCACCGGGCGGGCCCAAGTCAAAGCCCGGGCCCGGCCCTACTGGTTATTTTCAATGGGCCTGCGCAGAAAGCCCATTTCGTCCACAGTTCTCATGGTATGAGTCAGATTTTCACCTTGATCTCCTAGTTGATACTCTTAATTCTTTTAGGATTATCATATTAGACGGTTTATCTTGCTTTTTCCCCCATTTTCCTTACCCCTTTCATTTTTCTATCAACATTTCCTTTTTGGCTATTGGTCTTTAGTAGGACAAGTTTAGAACTCAAATAATTTAAAAATTCTTCACCTTGTATATTTTTAATAAATTATGATATATAGCCTTCATTATTATTTTTTAGTCGAATAAAAAACAATGGAATTTTTTTCTAATTTTTTGGTGAGCATTTTATGTTTAAAGTTAAAAAAAAATGATTCAATATTTTAATCTTCAAAATTATTTTGAATAAATTTTTTAGATTAAATTTCAATTATTTATATCTGTCATTTTTAAATTATTTTCATAACAGCAATTAGTTGATGTATATTGACACCTATATGACAATCAAGATGGCTTGATAAAATAGAAACATAGAAAATGTAGGCATTTGCATTAAAAGTGATTATTTCTCCAAATATAATAATCTTAGCCCATATAAGAAATATTTTCAGTTGTATTTAAAGATAAAAATTAATATTCTAAGGTGATTTATGATCATGGCTTGTGTAATGTGCCTAGCACTATTAATTTAAGTATTGAATAGCACCATTGACTATGAAAATAAAAAATAACATCAATCACAATGGCAGCCTAAAATTTTCATATGCCTACAAAGTTGCTAGTTTTAGTCACCATGTCTATTGTAAAAAATAAAAAAAATGAATAATATTAGTAGGCACCCTAATAGTGATCAATTTAAACATTTTCCCTTCAGATTTAGGTAGTGATGAAGGCCTAAAACAAGAGTATTATTCTTAATATGGTTAGTATATGAATTTTGACCTAAATGTTTACGGTTTCGAGTTTAGGATTGAGATTATAGGATTCTAATGAATCACCAATTCAACCTAGGGTTATGATGCCTTTCATTAATCCTTTGACAGTCTGCTAATCTAAGTTTACTCTCATGACCTATATCATAACTTCTTCAACTGATAGGGAAAAAAAAAAAAGGTAAGGAGAAGAAGGCAAACTAGTTAAAAGAGGAAAGGCACAATGAATGGAGCAATGGGACTTTGGGGAAGAGTTTGCCCCATGTTTATCAGATAATTCTTGCCATTAGACGAGCTAGCATATTATCCCATGCTATTTCAAGAGAGCACTGGAAAGAATATTATTCTTGAGGATATTATTATTCAGAAAACAACCAAGTTATCGTCCAAATCATGCTCTTCAGTGTAAAAAAGTTTCCACTTTTAGTTATTCCATAAAACCCACAAGTTATGGTTCTTGATGAGAAGGGGGAATAGCAGAGAAATATGCTCTCCATTGAAGGAGAGAGAGCAGACCCTATTCATGGAAGAGTCTGATATCCATGGAAGCTACATACCAAAGAGTCTAATATTCCATCGTGTGAATCAGAGATGGTTATTCAGGGAGAATATGGTAAATAACAAGATTTACTCTTGAATACCAAACTCAGAAAGATAGATGCCGAGGACATTATTGCAGCAGTGATCTTCTCAGATTCTTCCCCCTGATATGGCTGGCGATAATTCAAATCAATAAAGTTTCCATTTTTTTCGTTCTGTGATAAAACCCAGAAGATGGAGATTCTGATCCAAAGAGAAGCAACAGATAACTTAAAATGTTCTATTTAGGGAATGCTTTCTAATCTCTGTACAGGCACAGGCGGGGAAGAAGATGCATACCAAAGAGTCTCATATTCCACTAGATGAACGGAAGATTCATGCCCACTCTTTCATGGGAAGAGCTGGATGTAGCCAGTGAGTATGCCGATGGCAAGTATGAGCAACGGTGGGACAAGAACGAATGCCCCGATTGTGGCGAAGAACTGGGAGTCGTTCCTCCGGGAGACCTTGTTCAGGTAGGCCTGCCTTTTGATGTTCCTCTTCTGCGAGATGGTGAGCGAAATCTTCCTCACATCAAGCCGCTTCCCCAGGGGGATGGTGAAGTCGCCGATCCTACCATCCACAAGAAGAGAGAGCCGCTCCCGAATCGTTGGCCTATAGAAGCCTTCCTCGCTCTCTGAGTCTGCTCACAGAAGCTTATTTTCATTAGAAAAGCTTCCAAAGTTAGAGAATCATGGTATTCTTGATTTCCAAAGTTAGTAATATATATATATATATAAACCGCTCATGGAAGAAAATTTTCTTAGAAAACGCTTACAAAGTGGTTATTTCTCTCAGAAAAAATAGTAATGGTGTGCTTTTAAATGAGAGAATAATGATATTCATAATTTCCAAAAGGAAAAAATGCCAATAAATAAATATACCACTTCCAGATGCCAATTGCTCCAGGAGATCCAACTGGGCACGGGCAGAAGACCCTGTTAAAAGTATATACACAGAGTCACGTCAGCTACCAGCAGCAAAAGCAGAACGAAGAGGAGGAAATGGGTAAGTACGCAAGTTAAGAAGACTGGCTGAGACTGATGAGGGATCCGACTGGGTAATGGTGTTCGGACGATTCCAATTTTAGTAACTATTTTAGCCAGGATCAGGTTCAGGTGCCATCATCTTTCTCAGGGATTCACTTCATCGTTCTGAGGAATTCTCACCTCAGCTGCTTCCAGCTTGTTGGTGGCTGATAGAAGCACAATCGTTGCAAACTAGCCTATTGATATTGTGTTCTTGGCCATCAGTTCTTCACTGTTCGTCAATATTAGTAACCTTATGAAGCTTCGTGTGCCTCCTAATAATCGATAGAAACCACGGGCTAATCCTCGTTTAGTCCAATGGATTACGGGGGTAGATTCCTACCTCAGTGGCCCTCTTTTGGAAAAATCCTGAGTTGATCCTCTGAACACGTATAACCTGTCGTAACCTCAATATGTCTCATAAAATTAGTACCCATGTAAACTTAGTAGTGACTTTCCTTAGAACCCTAGTTTTGAATCAGAGGATCCCATTTCTTCCCCCATTAATGGATGAAAAAGGCATGTCGTAATGCGTCCTAAATTTCGTAACCTTGGATTCTGCAGATGATAGTCCTTGGATATCCTGAACTCGACGGCATCTGTTCATGCTCGGAATCCATCGACGGTCCGCGCAACTCCAGATTCTTGTTTTGGCATCATAAAAGCACTTGAATGGAACAATCAGAAGATGAGGAACTCCCCTGCCTGGATCACAATTCCGCAGATTAACCAACCCCCCCCCCCTCCCACCTGTACGAATCCTATCGAGATTTCCGCAGATTACTGGCAATATTCACCAGCATACTCACTTCTCCATTCCTTTGTTCTCAACTTCAACCACGGGAAATCGTTGAGAGAGAGTGAGAGAGAGGCAGCAACCAACCTGAATACTCACAGCTGGTGGAGGTGGTGCCCTCTGCCACCTCTTCAGGTGACGCGGCCGCCACGACGGCGCTTCTTCCTCTCCGATCACCTAGCAACTTGCTCTGGGTCGGCCATCTCCTCCTTCCCCATCGCCTTCGGCCGCAACTGCGAGAGACCTGGCGGACTCTCCGCGGCAGCGGCGGCGGCGGCGGCGGCACTGGTTGGAAAGGAGAGCAAGAGGCGGTAACGCTCCAAGCCATTTTCCGGGCAGCACCGGATCTCTCCACCATTTTTCCGGACACCTGGGCAGGAAAGGAGGGAGCTAGGAGAGCGGGCCCACGAGCCGCCTGCATCTCCCGCCACCACAAGCTCCTCCTCCATGCGGCCCCACCGCGCACAGGCGTGTTCTCTGCAAGCACCCTATATTTCTCATAAAATAAATTAAAATTATTTGGGCATTGTCCCTTAAAAACTAATAATATCATATTAATAACATATTCTTCCCCACAATCGTCACCTGCTCATTTCCGTAATTAGTAGAAAAGAGCTACCCCTAACAATGATATTATATCTTACTTACAAAGGGTAGAAGTCTAAGAGCTCATTGTGAGATCCACTTAAAATTATATGAAGAGATAATTGGTCAAACTACTGTAATTATGCTTGATTGCCTAGAAAAAGAATGTGGGGCTGCCCTTTTAATCTTGATTTTTCCCTTGAATATATGAAGATTTTGATATAAAATAAACCAAAGAATCAACTAAGATTTACTGAAATTGTTCATTATATTTGTAAAGTCCTAGAGATATATAAATGATAGTGTTTGGTGCTCGTAAAGTGAATATTTTTATTAGATAAAAAATAAGATTAGGTAAGATAAATATTTATCCTATTAATCTCTTAGTCGACAGAAGATTTTGTGGCAATAGGAAAAAGATGCAGATGAATCCTCTAAAGTCCTTAAGAATAATGGCAATTTCTTATACTCCACAATGACTAATAATTAGAAATTGGAGAATAATTCTACAAGGATAACTAAGATATTCATTTTGAAATGCTAGAACTAAATCAAACCCCAAATTCTCAAATACATGATCTAAATGATATAACGAGATGATATGCTAAAAAATGGGCCTAATCCAATAAAAAAACCCTATATGAATCTAATAAGAATATAATTTAAAATTTTCACATATTCTCACATATAATAAAAACCCTATATAATTATTGCCATATGTTAATGATGATACTCTAACTCAAAATGTGAATAATGTTATTCCCAAGTGGAACAAAAGGGGAAACAAGATGTGAAGGGGATGAAATATTAAACGTGACTAGTGAGGTGAGTCAAATACCTATTAAGTATCTCATTTTGCAAATGGAGTAATTAGGAGACAATCAACCATGACTGTTTCAATGCATAATCAGACAACTTTACCCCTTGTCTACTTTTCTACCTAATGATGGCCTTATCGTGATAATTGATTTGATCTCTTCTGATAATATGAGTCAACTATTGATTTGACTCTTTTTCATATAGCAAGAATATATAAAAATCAGTATGCATTCAATCCTTGACTCTCTTGGACTTTTTTAAAGGATAATATTGAAGATCAAATATATATTTATATTTTTTCCCATGTCTCTTTTGTAGTACACAACAATAATTTACCCATTTGACAATACAAGCTAATAGTCTCTCCCCCTTTCTTGTAATACCAAAAATTCATACTAGCAATATCAACTTGTTTCAAGGATTACAAATTTTAACTTTCATAAAATCATGCAATACATATTAGACAACCAATGTTAATGAGAATGACATTGTAGACAAACATTTGATGTAGTTCAACTTTGCTTGAGTAAAGTAAAATATTTTTTCAATAAGAAATATAAAAGCATAGTTGAACTCATGAAAAGGCATCCAAATATTGACAATGGTAATGGAATATATTCAAGCACATGTGAAATTCTGAATTTTTTTCAAATAAATTAATGAAATCTAGTAATCTAAAATGGTTAACATTTAATTTATCAAGGTATGAAATGCTTTGAAGCTCAATAGTCCAAAATATTATAATGTATATTTAATGAATTAGATCATGAGAAAAAATTGAGAAATATTTTGAGGAAGATCAAGGAATATACAAAAGTAATACTTATCAATCATTGCAAGTATTGAGCCTAAGTTCTATATAAAATTACATGAATTGCATATAAAAATGATTCCATGTTACATGGTCGATGAAGAAATAATAATGCAGAACATAAGAATGAAAAATTATTTGAGGAAGTCATCGAAAGCATCATATCAAAAATAAAAAGTGCACAAATTTAAACCATCAATAAAATATTGATTTGAAATATGCTAATATAATTTTAAAGTATAGCATAATTATCAATCAAAATGTTGTAAGAGTGATATAAGCTATGTTAGAACTCTCTTTGAGTCCAGAAAATAATTTAAAACTGAAAAATTCATGACTCTAAAACAACTTAAAATTCATGTAGCTTCCTCATTGAAACAATCAAATGATATTTCGACAATCATTCACTCCTTATTGTCAACTAATTAGAAACATTTTACATCTTAGGCTTCAAAAAATCAGAATTTCTTTGGGATTTTGTTCCAATCCTTCCTTCAAAATATTTTCAAGTTTGGTTGAAGTTGTTTCAGCCAAACCAACTAAATACATAGATGGGAAATGGAAATAGTCATTAGAGTGCTTAAAATACAGAGTGGAAAAAATTAAAAATATACTTGTTAAAGGTTCAAACTTTTTACAATGGATAGTTATGCTTTCTAGCTCTAAAAATATATTGAATATTGAATGTGCCAACATCTATGTCTAGCACATGAGAAACAATTGATAGCTTGTAATGTGAGGCTCAACACCTATACTCATACTATGGGAAAGTGATTTATTTTTGGAAAAATTTGGAAGGCCACCTATATGATATTGAAGGGGTTTAATGTTATTGTATGAGGAATGACCACCTATATCTAACACAACCATGTGTTGTATTTTTGTGGAATGTAGAAGTAGTGGGGGACTTTGATAGAAAATTATTATTGAAGGGTTTCATGAGGTTAGGTGAAACACCAACAAGGAGGGTTTGGGCCTAGATGAATTAGTTTTTTTACAATCTTTGTTCTATTCTAAATTTTTTGTATGAGTGGATATACTGAAATAGGTTCTCACACAACTGTCTTGTTCTCAATAAGGGCTTACTTAATGATGTCTTTCTCTCTATACGTAGGTTTTCTCTCGAGTCTTTCATCATCACTAAGGACATGAAAAGTTTTATACTAGTTTGTTTCTCACTTTGTTACTTTCAATCTCAAATTATTATTTATATTATATTTACTTGAATTCTCAAATATATATTTATTTTTAACATCATTAATAGCCCAACAATACCAATATAACTTTTGTAGAGATCACGCACTTCACAGACACAACTAGGCTCTTAGCACCATATGCTTTATCTCAAATCTCTTTTTACTCATCACGTAAGTATCTCAGGATTTGAAGGACAGAATCAACCTTTGAAGTAGATGTTTCTTTGAATCATTACCACTGAATGAAGTATTGATGCAGCTTTCAATTTTCCATTCAAGTTTATGGTAGTTGAACCTCGATAAATTGAGAGAGATATTCCTTTGAGCATTGGTAGATGATGTATATTGGTCATTCAAATCTATATTTTTTATTCGCAAGTTCCTTTATTTTCCTCTCTAATCTCATGTCTTTTCTAATCTTGAAAACTAGTCACATGAATTCAAATATTTTTATGTTACTCCGTCTACATGCTAGTAACATTTGCTTGTTCTTTTTTCTCAAAGCTCACTATTCTCATATTTAGTATACCTGAAACTCAATATGCAAATTTATAACTTATTAACGATCATCTTCATTGTTGAGGTTGAATTGGAATAGGGTTGTTATACTTATTGTTATCTCCACATCTTATGTCAACAAGTTATGGTCTAAAGTGTGTGTCTGACAATGATCTTTGCTGGTTCCTTACTTCTAAACTTATTGTTTACATGTATTTTATGCTTGAAATTTTATTTGAAGATTCATGACTTATTAATGATCATCTTTGTTTTTGGGGTCGAGTCCAAATAAGCCTATGTGTCTATCATTTTCTCCACATGTTTTGTCAATGTATCACAATTGTGTGACAATCACATAGCAATCATGTGGCAATCATGTGGCAATCACATGGCAATCACATGACAATTGTCTAGCAATTGTGTGGCAATTGTTTAGACTAAAAAACTTTGTTATGTTGATGTATCACCATAGTGTGGCTATAATGGAGTTGTTATCTTATTTATTTTCTCTCTCTTCCCACTATCTTTTTGAAGTTCCTATCTAAATGTAAAAGTTCAAGGTTGATTATTTTTTGTTGCAAAGGAATGGTAAGGACCAAGTCCAAGCCATGCCAAGTATAGAACAACTTCTAATGTTGAGGATTACATAGGGGAGACATGCTTAATATCTTTGGGTCATGCCCACGTATAAATAAGCTTGACCTTATTAGGAGAGAAAAAAAGGTTAGAAAAAGAGCAAGTGAGAATGATAGATAAATAGGTAGAGAGAGAGAGAGAGAGCATATGTTATTTCAACTTGATTATGAGGAAAAGAGGATTGTAAAATTATCTTTAAGCTTCTAAAGTAAACACTACAAGTATAATTTTACTTAAGATCTCAGTTAGGAAAAGCTCAAGACAAACTCACTTGACATGACCTAGTCATTGTATAGTAAATCACGTAAATTTAAAATTTATAAAACTAGAAAATATAAATTTTTAGATATTTAAAAATATTTATGAACAAATATATCAATTATAATTTAATAAAACTTCTAAAAATAGTAGTAATTTTCTAAGTCGATCACAAGAATGTAATATAATATCAAGTAATTATTCAGAATTTTTTTTCAAAGAATACTATTTTTTATAAATTTTACACTAAGAAATAAAAATAAAATATATTTAAAATTTACAAAAAATGAAAATAAAGATGTAGACACCAAGATAATATTAGTGCTTGGCAAATGCAAATTGAGAGAAAATAGAATTCTATCTAGTGATTCTTATCTAAGTGATTATAGATGATTTAATTGATTAAAGTAAGATCTGTAAAAGTCAGAAGAATCGTAATTGAATGAAATATAACTTGGTAAATTTAAATCACATAAATTATCACTAAATGAAGTAAAAATTAAGTTGAAAGCAAGAAAATAGAGTTCCGGTGTCGCGGCAAGGTACATCGTTAATACACCAAAATCTTGAGTATTCAAGAAAATCATCGTGTAATGTCCATAGCTTTAAAATTTCTCTTTGAATAAGGACAATGTGGACAATCTCTAGATCTCCTTGCGAAATCTAGAGATCAATGAAATGGGTCGTCGAATCGTCTCCGGCAGCTGTCACCTAGCAGAATGAAAAAATGACAACTTTGTAGCTCCTCGACAGCTATCACTCGACGGAAAAGAGATGGATGGAGGTGGAGTACATGTTAGGGAGTTTCATCCTCAAATATATGTAGTAAGAGGAGACTCTTCATTGCATCCGGTACACTCTTAGGAGGTGGTGACTCATCTCCTAACAGATTGTCCTCTTCTTGACGACAACTTATTCGTTGATCAATCAGAGATATTTTACTCAATAGATTCACGATCTTTTTATCACAAATTATTTAGCAATTTTAGTAACAATATTTCGTGAATTGTGTTGACAAAATTTTCACCGATGATCTAGCAATTCTGATGGCTTAATCCTTCACTAGTGATCTATAAAAAACTTACGATAATTAGATAAAAAATATGAATTTGGACTCTAAGAGGATTTGAACCTACTCTAGTTGTCTACCTATATGAGAGAGATTAAAATAAGTATTCTAATGCCTTTATCAAATGATATCATTATGACATATCTCTGTTATAAATAAGAGGTATTGTAAATATTAAAATCATCAAAACCTTTTTAGAGAAGGTGTGACACAGATTTAGTCTCACATCACTTGTGTATTAGTATTTCAAGTGAATATATAGTAATATTAGATTTACAAATAATGAGTCATTTTTTTCTATGTGTATGATCACTCTTTACCTCATAGTCGACTAGCCACTAGTGACGTAGAAGGGGAGTGGCGTATATGTGCCCTTATTGGTCCTAGTCACTCGAGCCTTGTGACTTCTCCCTAACTATGCTTTAGATTATTTAGGGGCTCAGTTGGCCAATAGTACCCCCTATTTTATTATATTTTTATTTTTATTTTTATTTTTTTCTTTATTTATCTCAAAAATAAAATTATAAAAATTATAGAAATTCATATAAAATCACATAATTAGCCAAAAATTTACGTTAATTAATTGAAAACCATATTTCACACTTTAACATAAATATAAGTCTATTTATCATGAGTTAAAGCTAAAACTATATTATTTTATTAGTTATTACCTTATGATAATAAAGACTTATCACCACTAAAAGAATTTTTTAATTAAAATTGATTAAAAAATTATAGAAACAATATTATAAATATACCAAGTAATTTTCCTTCAATGGTCAAACTAGAATAAATGATCCTTCCCTCTAATTTATTAAAATTATTGTCAAGTCAATACAAATATGTTTGTCTCTAAAGAATTCAACATCAAAGGTGATGTTTGACTCAAAAAATACTTTTGGAGTCGTTGCCTTGCAGAGCGAATTGAGGAAGACTGCATTGACGACTTGGATGGGGGCAGAGGACATAACAGCTATACATCAGGACCGGTGTCTATCTACAATTAGAAGCACTTTGAGGGTGCGATATGTAATAATAAATATATCGAGCGTTTCGGTAGGTTCGAAGAAGATGTGAAGGACCGCTACATTGTTTTGACTTGTTCAACCGAAGGAGTCTCAATCGAAACGCGTCTTCCCAGTCATTCGGTGACGACTGGCGGCATGGACTTCCCAGCCGTGAGAGCGAGAAAGAGGAACAGAGGGAGACGAATGCATACATAGATAGGTAGATAGATAGAGATAAAGATCGAGAGAGAGAGAGAGAGAGAGAGAGAGAGAGAGAGAGAGAGAGAGAGAGAGAGAAACCTTCTGGAGTGAGGAGGGAAGAGAAGGAAGCGGAAGCATGGAGATGGGGATGAGGCTGAACGACCTTCTTGGGGTGCTTCGGGTGAGAGTGATCAGAGGCATCGACCTCGCCGTCCGCGACGTCGTCAGCAGCGATCCCTACGTTGTTCTCAAATGGGGCAAGCAGGTTCCTCCTCTCTCTCTCTCTCTCTCTCGCTCTCTCTCTACCTGTCCGTTATCCGTGAACTCCGCCCTCCACCTTTCTGTGCCGCCGTGTTTCTCTGATCTACCATAAAACCCTAGAACCGTGGAGTTTGGAGTGAAATGGTCGAGAAGGAACCTCCATATCCTCATCGAGCTTTCCTAATCTCCTGAGGGACGGCGAACAGAGGGAATCGAGATCGGAGGAATTCGATGAACCTTTCAGTCTTCCGCCGCCGCTTCTTCTTCGCCCTCCCCGCCAATCGGTCTGCGATTCACCCTCCGGCGTCGATTCCACGTAGGGAGATTAGGGAGCGCTTGGGGAAGAAGCAACAGTTGAACAGAGAGACGTTCGAGAATGCGCAATAAGGGATGGTTGTCCTTCCTCGTAGGGTCCGGTGATGGAGATGAACGCCTCCTGACCGTTAGATCGACGGGCTGCTGTTGGGAAATGGATTCCATAGTCCAAACATACAGTAGACTCGACCGGGTAAACAATCATGAGGTTGAAGAACTATGTAGAGTATGAGGTCAGAAATACGACAAACCATCCTAGCCTTCTATTTTGTGGGCAAGGTAGTGTCTCAGGGTCTCCCACCCCAGAATCGATTCCACGGGAGTCCATCACGAGCCTGGCGACGAAAGCTGCAGCAGCGGTCCCAGATAAACTAGCAAGGTCGTGGGAATGTGGGGGACCTCGCCACGTGTCGTCTTGAGAAAAATTATTCACTTGACTGAATAATTAACATTTTCCCCGACGAGGGGAGAATATTCACGAGAATAAGTCTTGGCGTTAAGGGCGACGAGAAGAGAACTGAAGAGGTGGAGCGGAGGGAGGAAGAACACGGGAGAGTCTGATCTGGTGAGGATAGATAGCATGGAGGGCATTTTGGGGCTGCTCAAGGTGCGCGTGATCAGGGGCAACGATCTCGCTGTGGAGGACGTCCGCAGCAGCGACCCCTAGGTAGGTCGAGATGGACAACCAAGTAGGTCGCCTTTATCTCTCCTCCTCCCCAGTCCTGAGAGCCCTCCGCTCGTTGTTGCTGCTCTGCGAGCACCTGGACGAAGAAGAGGGGGCTTCCTATGGCGGAATCTTCACCTGAGTTTCTTCAGATTCCTTCTGTAATATCTGCTTCTGCGACACAACTCTGGAGCGCATTAGCTTGAGCGAATCATGGTCGGCCAGGCCTCTGATCTGATTATCTCGCCATTTTTCCCCCTTCTTCCACTTGTCCTTCACTCCCACTCGATCTTTAGATCCTGATCTTTGTTCCGTTCATCAATCGTCGTTCTACATGATCTGAGGTTTCCACTGTTCCTTGCTTCTGCTCATTTCAGTCCTTGTTCCTTGCAGAAATTGAAGACCCGCGTGGTGAAGAAGAGCGTCAATCCGGAGTGGAACGAGGACCTGACCTTGTGCGTTCTCGATCCCACTCATCCGATCCACCTTGTGAGTTCTCTCCTCCCTCCCCATTCCCTCTCTCCCCCGTCTCCCTCATTCCCTCCCCTACTCTCTCTCACTCTCTCTCCCCGTCGGCTACATCATGAAGGAGCGGGCTAAAGCTCCTAGAGCGAGAGAGATAAGGGGAGGGGGCCTGGCGGGCCGGGGTCAGAGAGAGAACGGGCGGGAGCCACCTGACCAGGCCCGGTTTTTATAAAGATGGATTTTTTTTTGTTTAATTATTGATTATTTTGTTTTTTGTCTGGTGGGGCCCATACATTAGACGGTATACGATAAAGACACGTTCACGGACGACCGGATGGGGAACGCGGAGATCGACATCCAGCCGTTCATCGAGGCGGTCCAGATGCGGCTGCGGGCCCTCCCCGATGGCGCGATCATCCGGAAGGTGGTCCCCACGCGGACCAACTGCCTGTCCGAGGAGAGCAAGATCCACTTCCGCGACGGGAAGCTCGTTCAGGACATCATCCTCCGCCTCAGGAACGTCGAGTCCGGCGAGGTTGAGCTCCAGCTCCAGTGGGTCGACGTCCCCGCATCCCAGCGCGGTTGACCCACAGAGTACTGGGGGCCATCGGCCACACACACCCGTGGACTTTGTCTACCTACCTACCTACCTACTAAATGAAATGTGATCAACCCGTTGACCCCCAAGTGGCCCGGGCTTTGTTTCTTTCTCCTGGTCAGTCAGCACCTTGAGCTTCTGCTCGATCTTGAAGACAATTATGGATTTTCATGGTCTGATGATGATGATGATTGGTTGGCCAGGTTTTTATCTTTTATTCTTCTGGCATTAGAGTTCATATATGTTTTAAATAATAATCTAAATGTTGGTTGGGGATGCGCTGAATTTTAAGTAGGAATTTTATTTATATTAGTTTGGGGGGTATTGATTAGGTGGGATATAATGCTATTATTATTTTATTTATTATTTAGAAATGCATTTTTGCCGGTATTTGTCCTTTAATATAAGATCTGCAGCGCATAAATAGGACGTGTATTGGTTGATTATTTGTTTTTTTTTAAAAAAATTTCGAAAGGGGAGGCGGAGAGGATGATGAATATGGATTTGCTGCGTGGATTCTGATCCCAACGCGGTTCCAAATAGCCCAGATTGCTCCGCCTGGCCATCGAATCGATTTCAGATGTAAAGAGAGGAGAGAGAGAGAGAGGTTGACAGTCGGCGGAGAGAAACCACGGAGAGATTAATTTAGGCCACTAGCACCGGCCAGAACTGAGTCTATATGATCTCAGAGCGGCACCGGATCCGCTCTCCTAAGCTAAAATTCACCAAGTTGGGGGTTCAAGTGTCAATCTTGACATAAATAGGGTTTTTTCTGATAAAGTACAATTGGGCCTCCTTACAATTGGGCCCGAATAGCCACGCTGTGCCATCCTGTGCTTTACGGCTGCGTAGATACACGACATTGAATACTTTCTATTTGAAAAAAGCATAATTTCTGAATTTGAAAAATAATGGCAGTCTCTGAAATCCCGGCTTTCCTCCTTTTTCAGCGCCCCCACGTGACCGGGAAGAGAGAGAGAGAGAGAGAGGGAGAGAGAGGGAGAGAGAGAGAGGGTTCAAATGTAACGGCTCTTTTTCTCTCCCCTCTCTGTGTCTCTCTGAGACCTGCGCCGAAAAGACTGAGGGATCCGACATCCCACGCACCCACTAAGCTTCTCTCTCCTACGCGGAGGTAAACAAAGCCGGAAGAATGATCTAGAACAGAAGGGAGCTCCTCAGGAGGTGGGCTGGTATCTCTCTGCCCAGAGCTTGCCGACGACTCTGTGTGTGTGTGTGTGTGTGTGTCTCTCTCTCTCTCTCTCTCTCGCTGAGAGCCACCAGTTCACTGCGCGCCGGCGCGAGGAGAGAAGAACAGGCCGCAACAGTTGTCGGTCCCCCTCTCTTTCCTCGTGGGACTGGACTTTTGGGCTCTGGATTTTGTTTCTTCCCGACGCAAGGCAAGGAACGAGGCGCGCAAAAGTGGTAAGGAATCGGAGGAGGGAAGGGCCTTGGGAGGAAAGAGATAGACGCTGGGTAGCCATCTGAGTCTCCCCCTTCTGGCTTGGCTCCTGTCCCTCCATATTATCTGTTTCAGTCATATCTCCGGCTACAAATATGCTCGATTCATTCTCGGAGTCTTTGGCTTCTTTCTGTTGTGGGTCGTCCGGGTGTTTTCCTTGTTGCGGAAAGTGGGGTTCATTAATGGGAGGGGGAGCTGAAGTGTCTTTCTGATCGCGCCTGTGTGCTTGAATGCCTCTGGTTCCTTTGGGTTTTTCTTAAGTAGGTCTATCCTTCACACTCCGATTGCCAGCAGATCTTTCCCGGACGTTTTTGGCTTCTCCGTAGATCCATGAGATATCAGTAGAAAATCAACATCATTTTTGTGTGCCATTCCCAGTAAAAATGCTTCTCACAGAGGAATTCTTTCCTCTTCTGCCTGAGAGTAAATGCTTACCTGGGACATTGTTTCTTTTTATTCCAGCGTAGTTGGATTAACTGCAGGTTGAGTGGAAGAGAATCAATCATTTCTTTGTAACATTTAGATATTGGTTTTAACATTGCTCCTCACATGACCAATCGACGTTTTTCTCAATCAATCTTCGTCATCTATCTTAAGATTCGTTGGATAATGTGATGATTAGTGAATTCTTTCGTGGTTAAAACAATTTAATGTGGCTCTTTTCCCGTAAGATCATCAAAAAATGTCAGGAGCCCTTGCTCTCTTCATGAGTTAGTGCTACGAGAACTTACTCCTTCATGGACATTATTTATTTATTTATTCCGTCAGTCTTGGGCTGATTCTTAGGTACCTTGATAGCGTGGGGAAGTTTAGTTTAATTTTTTGTTTAAAATCTCGGGCATAGCTTTGTTATACGTATCCTAAGATCATCAACATTTTGCAGGAGCCCTGGGCTTCGAAGCATTTTGAAGGGCCCATATGGCTACAATCGCCGACATAGGCCTGGCTGCCGCCATCAATATTCTTAGTGCCTTCGTGTTTTTCCTAATATTTGCTGTGCTGCGGCTGCAGCCCTTCAACGACAGAGTGTACTTCCCAAAATGGTACCTCAGAGGGTTAAGAAGCAGCCCCATGAGCTCTGGAGTTGTTGGGAAATTCGTGAATTTAGATTACAGATCCTATCTGAGGTTCTTGGGATGGATGCCTGCTGCCTTGAAAATGCCCGAGCCAGAGCTTATTGAGCATGCAGGGCTTGACTCTGCTGTTTATCTTCGGATATATCTAATAGGGTATGCAAAAATAGCTTTAAAAGTCTCTGTTTTAAATTGAAACCCATCTTCATGTTTGAATGTTTCTTGTTCTATCTTTGAAATCTATTGCCGATTTCTCAATACTTCTGTGAATATAATGAGTTATAATGACCTCTTCTTCCTCTCTTTGTTTCTTTCAGGCTTAAAATATTTGTTCCCATCACGTTCTTGGCATTCACGATCTTGGTACCCGTCAACTGGACCAATGATACTCTTGAGCATTCCAAGATGCTGTTCAGCAGCATTGACAAGCTATCAATTTCTAATATCCCACATGAGTCACATAGGTAAGAAGACTAAATAGGCATCTCTTCATTAACTATTGAATGTATGAATATCTACCACAGTATAAATTCTGGGCCTTCGATCAAGGCTATTCTTGCCTTCAAGTATTCTACACTGCCATTTTGTTTAATATGCGTGATTAACTCATCCTTAAGCAGCATACAAATTCACTCACTCAATGAATATGTTTAATTAAGCCCGAGTAATAATATTACGCATTTGTTTTGACAATGTCCTTTTTTTAATTAAGCCATCAACTTAAGCCATCGGTATCACATGATAGCAAGATCATATTTGCAATGTCTTCCACTGGCGTCGCAGGTTTTGGGCTCATTTGGTAATGGCCTATGCTTTCACATTTTGGACTTGCTATGTCTTGCTCAAGGAGTACGAGACAGTGGCGTCAATGAGACTGCAATTTCTTGCATTAGAGAGACGACGTCCAGACCAATTTACCGTAAGTCCCTAAATTTCCAACCTTTGTAAACCTTTAAATGAGACTTAAAGGCAGCGATGCATTGTGTTGCTTAAGGAGCTGTCTTGGGGTGAATCCCGTTTGCTGTCTTGTCTGTCAGTATCTCTGGGGGAAGATACTAAACGCTATCGAATACTTAGCATTAATTTTGGGCAGCTTTGAATTCAGGCATTCTTCTTTTGGAATGTGAGATAATTCATTTTGGTTCTTTGGCAGGTTCTTGTGAGGAATGTGCCACCTGACCCTGATGAATCTGTCAGCGAGCTTGTTGAGCATTTCTTTATGGTCAACCACCCTGACCACTATATCACTCATCAGGTCTTCATGGCAGACTCTCTGGTTCTAGCTTTTTTAGTTTTTAATATTTTCTTGGTTTACTTCATTAGTCTTTGCAAGTATTATGCATTCGTATCCAGCTCATGGTGGGAGAAAGGAAAGGAGAAGATTAACACTCAAGATATTAGATAGGCTGGAGAAGGAACTGTATGGTTTACATGGATGAAATAAAGAACGTTTCTACCCAAACGTGACAAATTGAAATGGACAAATATGTCATTGCTACGATGTTCTAACACAGAGAGAAGACCTGCTCTAGAGGTCTCTTCAAAGACTGGAGATATCATACTTAGTAGGGATTAGATGGAAAAATAACAAACAACATGCCAGAGAAAATATCATGAAGTGGTGCAATCGCCTGGCTGTCTTTTGGCTTTCAATAGTTTGTTATCTTGACCTGATTTTTGGGGTGGACTTTTTTATCTTCCAGTCTTGATGGAAGGGAAAATGATGCATGATTCAATATTAAGCCATAGGGATCTGTTGCATTTATAATGCTCCCTAATAGGTTTCTCTCTATTTTTTTCAGGCGATTTACTGTTTTCAGGCGATTCAATATTTAGATGAACTTATGTGCAGTTTTTATTTCGTAACACAGTATTCATGTTCCTGCAAGTTCTTTATTCTTCTAGCACCTGTCCCCTTTTCATCGATGGTATCCTCCATCAGGGAACAATACTCTTTGTATCTCCTGGAGCTTTATTTCGATGTCTTTTTAGTATTTTTACTGTACGTTTGCTAGAGTATAAATGCCACGTTCACAGTTACACGTGTACCACTAGAAAATGATAACGAATTTTTCACCAGCTTAGATATTGAATTTCACTGAGACATACCATTAACTTTTATGCCTTTTCCTCGCAACTTTTTAGTTTTCAATTGATATGCTCTTCCACCATCTTAGTTGCTTCCAGCTCTTTAAATTCTTTACATTGTTTTTTCATGCCATGCGATTAAATGCCTTTCTCTGATTTATTTATATGGTACCAGTATTTCACCTTCTTAAATGCTTTATCCTTCCTTTTAGTTGTGTGTACTCATTCTTCTTATTGGTAGTAACAATTGTACTTCTTCTTTTTTTTCTTTTTTTTTTTTACAATTGTACTTCTTTAGTTTCTTTATGAACTTTATTTGAATAGCACGAGAAGCAGCCTATTTTTCTCAGGGCGATGATTGATATTGATCGTGATAGATAAGATAATCTATTCTTCTGTTAAAGGAGCTTTTTAATTCTTAGTACATTTAACAGAGTAGTTTCGTTTCCATGATCTTTTCTTGGCTAGTAAACAATCATCAAATTGCCATTTAACCTGCGAATCTCATAAATGTTTTCATTGGACCAAAGATTTTCAGTTTATGAACTTATTTATTGATAAATGTATAACTCAGAGACCTGCTAGGTGGGGGTTGTTCTGTGAATACAGAGATGTAAGGCTTGTGACTCAGTTTTTTTGAACATGCTGGCATGTTGCTCTCTCGTTCTGTCTCTTTGTCACTCTCTCTATCTCTCTCTCTCATTCTCCCATCAATTCTTCTGGGGTGGGTTTGGTTTTGGGAGTCTACTCTGTTTTTTGTTTCATAGTTTGTCGAATTCGAGTAAATGGTGTGATGAAGGTTACTTTGTGGAATTTTGTATTTGTTATTTTATTGTTAAAGTAAAAGTTTTTGTTTTGTGGATGTTTTAGGTTGTTTATAATGCAAATGATCTGGCTAAAGTTGTCAGGGAGAAGAAAAAGGCGCAGAATTGGCTTGACTACAATCAACTCAAATATCAACGGAAACCTTTAAAGAGACCAATTCGGAAGGTAGATTGGTCTAGAACGCGTGTTATGCAGAACACTGTACATTATACTGTGACATTTCGTCTTTATAAAGCTCTTCTGTCGAAGTGTGCGTGGATGTCTCATTGTTTCTTCTTCATCACACCAATTAGTTCTTTATCTCTGGATAAAATATATAAATCATAGAAGATATTCTCTTGCCAAATTTTCTCTGTATTATACAAGCCAATTTTCTCTTGTATTTAAACTGTTCAGAAATAGAAGTGCCATGTGCCTGACATTGCTTACTTGTTTTTGTCAGACTGGTTGCCTTGGGCTATGGGGTAAGAAAGTTGACTCAATCGAGTATTATGCATCTGAGGTTGAAAGGCTGTCAAAAGAAGTAAGCATTCATCTATGCATGTTTTACATATTTGATCTCTGTTACTAAATGCTAGTCAAATACTTCTGCATAAAGCTGTTGCATTTGTCCTTAGATTTGTGGTGCAACTAATAGAAGATAATTACTCTCTCTTCTGGTAATTAGTGTTCTTGCTTGCTCTCTGTCTAGCACTAATAGTTGACTTGTTACGGTCAATCCTCAGCCTCAATCGACTTGTTCGTTTTTTATGAAGATCTTATTCACAGTAAATTTTCAACTGTGATCGCTATTGTTTTATTATCTTGCATAACGTAGGGGGGCATTGAAGAAACCTTACAAAATATAGTCTTAATTTACCTCTATGCCTGTTTTGTTTCCCCTTCATCCTAGTGCATTGGCAATGTGGGAATACGCATGGAACAAAGATGCTTTTTGACACTTTTATTCTAGGGCTACTTCACATGCCGAACTAAAACATTTAAAGTGGGATCTTTTCAGTAAGGCCCAAAGTGTAATTGACATGCATTGGTTGTTATCTTTTAGTAGCTATAGACTAGACCCACAGATAAACCGGCTCATTCTTTGTTATCTGTCTATTCACATCTTTGGGCCGTTTCACCGAGCGTGACTACATATCTGGGTTTGATGAGTTTTTTCTCTTTACGTGAGAAAGGATGCGATTATACTTTTTGGGCAGAATTTGGAACATAGGTTTTCACCCTCTGAGTTGATTATTCGCACACCTACTTGTATATGCATTCCTCCTTTATTTTGTACCTCTGTATGAATTTGTGTAACCAACCGCTGTAAAAAGAAACCACTGAGTAAGGGGAGGATGGGTCGAAACAATTGCGGGAGACTAAATGAGTGCAAGTTAAAAACGTTTCCCCTGTCGACCAGAACATGGAAGAAGCTTTCAATCATTTCCCTGTCCTGGATCTTGGCAATTAGGTGGGCTACACTGTGGTTTTCTTGATGAACTATTCGAGGCTTGCTCTTTTCTCATAAATGGCTTAATAAAATGTCACCCTTGGGTATCAAAGAGCAAAGAGTACGAACTCTTCTTCATCTTCAGTCAATCAAAGAGTATATGTCCTTCTGATTTCATAAACATGTTGAAAATACTTCACTTTTAATGCCGGTACCATGATGGTGTGCTTTGTTTTTTCTTTCAATTTAAGCACTCTTATCATTAAGAATGAACGACTCAGTTGGTTTCTGATCTTCTCGCTTCAATTTCAATGTTACATTACATTATTGGAAATCATTTGAAGTCTTTCTGACGGTCTAATTTCATCTTAGGAAGTTGCAGAACGTGAAAAAATCGTAAAGAGTACAAAGTATATTATGCCGGCAGCATTTGTATCCTTCAGGACCCGTTGGGCAGCAGCTGTTTGTGCGCAGACACAACAGACCAGAAACCCTACCCTGTGGTTGACCGAGTGGGCTCCAGAACCTCGTGATGTGTACTGGCGGAATCTGGCAATTCCATTTGTCTCTCTGACAATTAGAAGACTGATTGTGGCTGTGGCGTTCTTCTTTCTTACCTTCTTCTTCGTGATTCCTATAGTCTTCGTTCAGTCTCTGGCAAACATTGAGGGAATTGAGAAGGCTCTTCCTTTCTTGAGGCCCATTATTGAAATGTATGTGCTCCTCGCTGGTTCTTTGTGTTTCCTTTCATCATTGGTTTCAAGGATAATTCGTATTTTGATTAGGTATTCAACATATATTTGTGCAAGATTTGAAGTTTCCAGATAAGATTTTGTTTGCTCTTTTCTTTTATAGTATTCTCCTGGATAACGTTTAATTAAACTATCATTTCTATGGTTCTTTTTTTTTGCAGAAAATTTATCAAATCATTTATCCAAGGTTTTCTCCCTGGAATCGCTCTTAAAATTTTTCTCATATTGCTGCCAACTATTTTAATGCTAATGTCCAAGTTTGAAGGACTTGTGTCCATATCATCTCTTGAGCGAAGATCTGCATCCAAATACTATCTCTTTCTGCTTGTCAATGTGTTTCTTGGGAGCATAATCACTGGGACTGCTTTTGAACAGTTGAACACTTTTATTCACCAGTCCGCAAATCAGTACGTACGCTCATCACTGGATATTAAATCTTTTGCCATTGTTACAGTTCATATTCTGCTCTTCGTTAATCATGATATCATGTAACAGCTAAAAATTGCAGTCTCATTCTGATCTAATGCCCTATGCTATCATGTGAAGTATAGCATATTTGTATGTTGTTCAATTATCGTTATTGCTTTACTCAAGTGCATGCATCTCCCCTTGCTAATGCAGAATTCCAGTGACGATTGGTCAATCCATCCCTATGAAAGCAACTTTCTTCATCACTTATATCATGGTCGATGGGTGGGCTGGAATTGCCGGGGAAATTTTGAGGTTGAAACCCTTGATAATATATCACTTGAAGAATGTGTTCCTTGTGAAGACTGAGAAAGATAGGGAAGAGGCGATGTATCCGGGGAGCATCGGTTTCGACACTTCAGAGCCACAGATTCAGTTGTACTTCCTGCTCGGCCTGGTTTATGCTGTTGTGACGCCATTCCTCCTCCCTTTCATTCTCATATTCTTTGGCCTGGCATATGTTGTCTACCGCCATCAGGTGGGTAATCTCAGAAATCTCTTTCTACCGTGTGGGTCCTTGCTAGCCTCTTCTATTTAAATTATTTTTCTCTAAATGACACCTTTTCTAAAAAAAATTCTGGTAGATTATAAATGTTTACGACCAGCGGTACGAGAGTGGTGCCACATTCTGGCCGGATGTTCATGGGCGTATAATCAGTGCTCTGATCATCTCTCAGTTGCTTCTTATGGGATTGTTGAGCACCAAGCAAGCTTCTCAGTCCACACCGCTGCTCGTTGCACTTCCTGTTTTGACCATCTGGTTCCACAAGTACTGCAAGAGCCGCTATGAGCCAGCCTTTGTCAGATTTCCATTACAGGTTTCACATTTTTTTTGTTTTTTTTTTTTTTTTTTTGCCGTTCATCTTCATAATTCGTCTCTTTTCTCCCGATGTTTGTTACCTTTCTGAGCTGTTGCTTTTTATTTGCCAGGAAGCGATGATGAAGGACACGCTAGAGCATGCCCGAGAACCCGACCTGGACCTGAAGAGCTACGTATCGGACGCCTACATGCATCCGGTGTTCAAGGGCGGCTACAACGACGATGAGGAGAACGCTCCTCCAACTGGGTACGGAAAGGTCCATGGAAGCCCGGCTCTCGTCCCCACCAAGCGTCAGTCTAGAAGGAGCACTCCGGTTCCCAGCAAACACAGCGGATCCTTGTCTCCCCCCTCTGTTCGTGCATCCTCTCAGGGACCACGATGAGGATGATGTGTGTGTGTGTGTGTGTGTGAGAGAGAGAGAGAGAGAGAGAGAGAGAGAGAGAGGGAGCTTCTGTAAATGCTTTGGTGCGATTTCAATGAGCGTCTCTGTGTCCCAGAAGTCAGAGTCCTTATAATTTCTTCTTCTTGTGTCTGCGCTATGATATTCAATAGAAAAGATCTGTGATTTTCAATGGAAACAATGAAGAGTGCTTCTTTATTACAGGGAAGGAATTCTTGGTAACGGGAGGAGGGGGGGTCAGCTATTCTGGTGGACCGCAATCAAGTGGATGTCCATGTCCTTGAGCATCACCGACCGTCCACACGCATCGCACGGCGTCGTCCTCGACCCGCAGACGCTCTCGTGCTCGCAGAGCCCCCTCAGCCTGTCCCTCGCGTCCGCCGCCGCCGTCCCCGCCCGCACTGCGTCACCGCAGAACCGGCACGTTATCAGCCGCAGCGGGCATGCCGCCGCCTGGTGCCGCGCCTGCCACACAAACGAACCAACCAATCAACAAAACTGCCGAGCTCAGTAAATGCGAAGAAGAGGGAGGAGCCAGAATTGGTTGTGGGTGGAAGGAAGACGCTTTACCATCTCCTCCTTCTCGAGGACGGCGCCGCAGGGGCAATTCACCGGCCGGTGGAAGACCTCCAAGTGCTTCTCTAGCTGCTCCCTCCGAAGGGCCTGGCCGCACTCACTGCAGTGGACGTGGGCTCCGGCCTCCTCCTTCCGAAGAACAGCGCCGCACCCCTCGTGTTGGCAGACAACATTGTGCCTCGCGCAGAAGGCCTCGTGGATCACGATGCTCTGCGCAGAGACGAGCCGCCGGCAGTTCCGGCACTCTGCCGCCCCCTCCTCCCCTGCCACCGCTGGCAATGCAGAGACAACCTGCTTGCTCCTCTCCTTCAGTGCAACACAGATCCGGTACTTGGTCTGGCCTCTGTAACCATACACTCCGACGCTGTAGGAACCCACTGCCGGTTGCTGATCAATGTGTGAGAGAACCAGGGCCTTGGAGCCGACATCATGGCAAGACCACCCGTGCTGGAGCTTCGTGGGGAAGATGACCGGGTGCCTTGACACGTAGAGGTCGGTGTCGGCGCCTTCTGCCGACTCCGCCTGCAGGCTTACCTCGAGGCTGAGCTCCCCGGAAGCAATCCTCTCGCCTGTGAATTCATCCACGGGGAACTTGTAGTAGTTGAAGCTTCCTTCCTCCACCGTCCCGGTCTCGGCATTTCCCAGCTCGAGTGGCACCAATGCCCGCTGGTTCTCGCTCGCAGAGTCCTCCGGCTCGATGATGTCGACTTCGACGTCCGTCTCTATGACAGAAACGCTCGGCGACGGTTTCAGCTCGAGGACCCGCAGCTTGTAGCTAAGATCCCCATGGAGGACGGTGATCACGTCGCCCTGGGAGAGGGTTGTGTGCCTGCGAAGGCTCGTCTCGAGCACGGCCTTGTGGTATGGTAGGTCGGAGAAGCCCAGATCCTCGGGCTGTAGCTTTGCGTAGGTGCCCTTTGGGAGGCTCACGTACTTGACCTCGACCAGAGGAAAGTCGAGCTCAATGCCATGAAATAAGTTGCTCCAGACGTGTGGGGGAAGCTCCACAGAGCCTTCCCTGGCGGTGAATTCCAAAACGCCAGAGTGTGTCATCTGCTGCTCGGAAGATGGCGACTCGTCGACTCTCGACAGGCGAAAGCACATGGGGCCCTTGTCCAGAGCTCCTTGGTTGGAGAGCTCGGTGAAGCAGGAAGGTGGCAGCTTGATCTTGTCACCATATCCACTGTAATGCACGGCTTCTAAGGTTTGGCAGAAGATAATACCGTTGCCAATGAGTAAGCTTTCTTCTATCTGTTGCTCTGCCTGAGACAGAATTGAAATGGGTTGAATTGGGTTCGAGGGTGGATTGGAAATAATTCGTTCTTTCGCCTCAACAATGTTATGTTGATTACTCAACCTCATCTAAACCATGGTTGTCACCAAACTATAGAAACTGATTCTAGCATGCATTTAATATTGTGGCTCACAAAAATTTTGTACCAAGCTGGTGGCTTCATTCACTCACAAAACAAATTATCGGCTGGGCAATGATAACGGGTGGTATCGGTGTGGGGTAGGCACTGGAATAATTTTATTGTGCCCGAATCTTCAGTATCTATTCTTTGCTCTAAAGAAAACAATACATGAGCAGATCATGGTGGATTTAAATCAACATTACTTTTTTTGTTTAATGTATGCAAACTACATTAAAAAGATTAGTTTATATGTCAATATATGCAATCTACACTAAAATTTATATGTTTTGAATAAATGAGAAATGAGGAAACAACAACTAAGAGTGAGCCACGGGCCATTTTGAATATGTTTTTGTCAAACTAAAACCAAAACATAAAATTCTGCAACCCAAAATCAAAATCAAGCTAAACCTCATGACAGTCCCAAAAGTCAAGCCCTAATACGCTGGCCAAGGCCAAGTCACTTCCCCTTTGCCCCTGGAATGGCACTAACTTCCAATTACACTGGCCGTCTGCCATTTGAGATGTGTCTTTTTAAGCTAACATCAGGACAGCTGGTTGGATGGTGACAAGAAATCCGAGCCAAATTAAAGATACCTTTTCATGTATCAATTTCAACCCACCAGAACTGCACCTAAAGACAATCCCACCAAAGCTGACTTAGGTAATTGGCAAATCAGAACCACGTTGCATCCACACCCCCTAGCAGGTCTCTGCATTCCACTGAGACAAAATGCTTTCTTATTATGGTGTCAGGACATTGGTTACTAAAGAAAGAGGGAAGTCATTTCACCTGTGATGCCAGCACTTGGACATGGCCAAAAGGGTACTGTAATAAAAGCATCAATTAGGAGTCACCCAATTGGACCTTTGTATTGGAGTAGTGTCTTAAAAGTGTAAGAGGGACGGAACTAGGAGAAAGCTACGAAGTTGACGTCAAGAGGCCCAATTCGTGACTGTTAGTGGGAGAAAAAGAAGCTTCAGATGGTTCAAGAAACATCCTTTTTGCTATCTTCCTACTTTAGCCTCTTTAAACCCAGGTTATCTTAAAAGTAAGTGCACAAGGCGACCATAGAGACAAACTGGGTTCCATGTCACAATGTCAAAATTCATGTCTCTGGAGTGATCTAAAATATATATTTCGCAACAACATTGAACTTGAATTCTTCAGGTTCAACAAATACAGGATCTTGTTCTCCAGTGTGACAATTTGTAACTTCACCAATGACACATAGGGCCCACATATTCTTCTTCCCTTTCTCAATAATAACCTATAAGTCGCAACTAGTAGAGGATGTATACCAGCAAGGCGATTTGGTATCCGGAAAAATGTTCTCACAATATCCATCCTTTAAAATGATCGATAATCTACATTACTCCATTGATCATAGAGAGATCAGACCAAGTAAACACGGTAAAATTTCAATTCTAGAGTAAGCAGAGAGAGATAAAATGTGATAGCAATGGGTTTAGATCACATTAAAGCCCTCACCGGTTTTGAAATAGAAAAGAGGGGAACGACCAAATGGAAAGATACTTAACATTGCTCATCCGTTTTAGAGGTTGTAAAATCTCGCAACATCGATTTCTAACTGTGCTTCTCACGAAACACCAAATCACCCCCCAGAAGGGGAGCAGCGGCTCCCAGGAAGAAAATCGATAAAACACCGACTCAGAGAACAAATTTCTATCAGATCAAAAAATAAAACAAGAATATACAGAGGGATTCCCTATTGGCCGCGTAGATTTGAAGAAGCGTACCAGCTGTTGGGCTCTGGCGGCATCAAGGCGGGCGGCGCGCTGGGCAGCCTCGAGAGCCTCGCGACGTTCGGCTGCCTCGGCCTTGGCCCGGCGCTCCCTCTCCTGCCGCAGCCTTGCCCGTTCCTTGCGCTCCCTCTGCTCCTTCTCCAGCCTCTGCCTCGCCATCCGCAGCTCGAAATCCATCTCTCCTCTCCTTTGAATATCTCCCTCCTCTCTCTCCCGATCCTTTCTTCTTCTCTACCCTTTCTCCTCCTCGAGTCACCCTCCCTCTCGTATTTATTAGTTCCTCCGGTTGACCATATTTCAATTTGCGACTTACAGAAATAATATATCCACCAGTGTCCTCTTGCCACGTAATCAATTGCTTACCTCCTCTGAAGCCCACGCCCTCCCTTCCCAGTCGCTCACGACCGCCACAGACCTAGAAAGTACAAACTAGCGTCATCATCGTCGTCATAAACATATTCTATTTTAAATAAAAGTATAATATTATATTAAATACAACTAATTTCAAATATTCAAAACATAGAAAAATTATGTAAATTTTATGTTTTTTGCCGGTAAGAAATAAATCTGAAAAGATAACCAAGCATTTAAGTAGAGCTATCAGTTTTAAGCTTATATACCAAAATCCAAAAACATTAATTTTTCTTAAAAATAAATGAAAATAAGAAAAACATGTGAAAATACTTCCTTTTTTTGGAAAATATGAAAAAAATATAGTTATAACTTTAAAAAATATTCATGTTCTCCTTGCATGTTGAACAGAGGGTTAGGAATTTTATATGATTAGTTGAGAGGAGGAAATAAAAGAATTAGAAGAATATAATATATGAATACTTGAATTTTTTTTACTACACCCGAGTTCAAAATCCGCCCACATCTCTCTCTCTCTCTCGCTCACTCTTACTCCCTGTCCTCCTCTCCCCCCCCCTTTCTGTGTTAGATATAGTCGTAGTATGGGCTTGCCATGTCTCAGTTAATGGGTTTATTATACCTTAATTTTTGGGCCTTCCATATTTTGGTTGTGTTATGGACTTGCCATATTTAGTACTTGACATTTTATGTTCGTTATGCATCGAAGGGCAGTGCAGGGCTTGACTATGCGTGGCCTTTGGTCCCTTCTCCCTCTCTTCGTCCTTTCTTGCCCCTTTCTCTCTCCCTTGGTCTCGCCACCTTGTTTATCCTGTCTCAATCTTCGTTAATATGGTATTAGAGAAGCCTTGATACCCTCTTCATCTCTTTGCTAACAATCTGCTCTGTTTGAGAAATATTAGGTAATTTCTGCTCATGAAGAAAGAAGCTTGTCTTGTCGAGAACCCCCAACTCTTCCCCTCTATTCGATCGGTCAAAAGAAGACGACATGAATCTTGTAAACTAAATCCAGCTGTTTTTATTGAAGGGAAAAAGTGCAAGGAAGTGAAGCTTTGACTTGATCACCGGCGGCTCCACCATACCGGAAAAGGTTAGCAGTGCTTGCCTTTCCAAACTCGTCCAGACTTGGTACTATAAGAGTTTGGCGAGCCGTCTTTGGATCGATCAGAATGTGCAGAAGTAGCTACAACAGAATACGGAAGTCAACTATGAACTGTTGGGAGACCAACTTCGAAGTTTCATGGCACCGTGACGGCTCTTGTCATGCAGGCGCAGCGGGGTCGACCCCAAAGCCATAACGTCTCAAGAAGTTTCCTTTGTTGGGGTTTGCCCATCGGTGATTGACTATTTTGGGCATTCAGTAGGTCAACTATTCATCAGGGGATTTTCTATGACCCTTGCTGATCATGCGATGGTGTACGACTGTTGAGATCTTATGGCGAACACGTGGGATGAAGGCCATAAATACGTCACGAGATGGTATGGTTTGGTTGCATGGACTGAATAATTTATACACAAGGGTTTCGAGATTTGGGGTTTCTGTGAGGGGTTGGTGTCATCTTCATTATTGCAGGCATTCTTTGGGTAACTCTAGTTTTTATTTTATTCTATTCGCATGGGTACCCTTTTAGGCAAAAAATTAACCACTGACACTGAAAGAGGATCTGTTGTCGGATTTTAATATGCCCTATTAAGTTCGTGTCAATGCATGCTCTGAAGTCGTGGTTCTGCCGGTGTTTTTTGATGATTATCCCAATACTTGGTGAATAAAAACCGGGGATGGGTAGAATTTCGTGTGAAAAGGGTTTGACGTATAGAGTCTGACTATCCCTCCTTTACTATAAATCCCACCTTTTATCGTGTGATTCTACTCATACCCATCTGAAAGATTCCAATCATATGGATTACCGCGTTGTAAATATCCTCCGTTTTGATTTGGTTATTAAAATCCTCAACTACCCGTTTCAACAACTCGCCGTCCGCCCCATTGTCGTCGTCCCGCCTCCTCGCCATCCCCCCATTACCGTCGTCCTGCCTCCTCGCCATCCGCCCCATTGCCGTCGCCCGCCTCCTTGCCGTCTGCTCCATCGCCGTCGTCCTGCCTCCTCGCCATCCGCCCCATTGCCGTCTCCCGCCTCCTTGCCGTCTGCTCCATCGCCGTCGTCCCGCCTCCTCGCCGTCCGCCCGTTACCGCCACTCCGGCTCCTGGCCGTCCACCCCGTCGCCGCCACTTCATCTCTCTCTCCCGCCGAAACACTCGTTCTTCTCTCCCCCGTCGTCGCCACGTTTCCCCGTCCTTTTCTCTCTCTTCTCTCTCTCCTGCTGAAACCCTCGTCCATCTTTCTCCCGCCGTCGCCACGTACCCCATCATTTTCTTTTCTCTCTCTTCCCCCGACGCTCTCTCTCTCTCTCTCTCCCGCTGAAACCCCCTTTCTTCTCTCTCCCGTCGTCGCCACGTATCCCTCATTTTCTCTCTCTCTCTTCCTCTCCCGCCGTCACCACGTACCCCCTCATCTTCTCTCTCTCCCTCTCACCCGCCGTTGCCACGTACCCCCTCATTCCGTTTTCTCTCTGTTTCTCTCACCGACGCCCTCTCATTCTGCCCCTTTTCTCTCCCCACCCTTTTATTTATTCTCATTATTATTTTATTCTCTTATTCTTTATATTTCTCATTTAAACCTTTTTTTCCTCTCTTATATATATTTTAAATTATCTAAATATTTTTTAGTTCTCACCTACCCAACCCAGACCTCCCGTTTTTTTGAATCATCACCCATTAGAAATTCCTCAACAAGGCTTGTAGATCTCAAGCCACTAGAATCAAGGAAATCACTCTAGAATCTTCTTTTGGCATGATATGTTGATTTCAACTCCTTTTGTGAAGTGTTCATTAGTTTTAAATCCTTACTCATAAAAATTGAGTGATCATAAATTAGCCCTCTTTATACTTTTTATCAATGATCCTAACACCTTAATTGGAACTTTATCTGACTCTTTGCAAGAGTGGTTCTTCTCAAGTAATTATTATCATAGTTCTTCTAAAATCAGTAAGATTAGTTACTCATAATCTTCTTTAACTTAACAAAAAGTAATTTTAAATCCCCACCCTCTATTTAGCATTGATATTTCTTTTTGGTCCCACATCATAAAGGTATTAGAGTTGAAAGATACTGGAGTCGAAATATTCAAGGTAGAAAATTTATGAGAGACAATGTATATAGGCGAAGGGCTCTGGCACTTTAATACAAAATAGAAAGTTGAATCTACGTTAGCTTGAACTAGAAGGTTTATACAGAATACAACATTCAATAATAAATTAAAATATTAAGGTTTGATACTTATAACTGAAGTATGAGATTGAGAAAGATTACTAAACTTCTGAGTGCCAATGCTTGAAGATTTATGGAGTCAACTCAAATCTTAGCTAATATATTCATGTTAACATGAACACATTTATGGCTTGACACTTGAAAAGTTAGATGAATCTACTGATATTGGTGGCCATCAAAAATATAGATTGACTACTTACAATTAAGAGCTACTTTAAGAAAATTATTTGCAATTAATAAACCCCTTGTTAAATAAAAGCATTATATATGAGAATTTCGTTCCAAAGCTAATTTCTCCAAACTTACTAGTTCCTAGTGATTTTTTCAAATCTCAATTCCTTTAAACACATTACCCATCTTCTACATCTGAGAATGTTCTGAAAATTTAGCATTTTGACAAGCTTGGTATTGAGCAAGTCAAGAGGCAGAATTGTGATTTTGTTAGTCCAATTGGGATATAATTTGTAGTTGATAAAGCTAACGTACTGAATTCTAAAGGAGAGTTTCAACGAGTAGAGTAGGTCTAAGATTATATCAAACTGATATAGAAACTATTTTATATATGATGAATTAATCACTAGTAAATTTCAATTAAAATCTCGCATATATTTTTATAAAGAGAGGATTGCACCACGACTTTGCCCAACAGAGTGTTCCATAGGGAAGTATTGGTGCTGGCAAGTGACGGTTGAGGTCTGCAGGCTTCAAACTCACAAATCATATTCCTCATGATCTTTTGTATGAATTAATTTCACCTTTGAACTTAGACAATCTATCTGTAATAATATAGTTTTCTCCTTAAACTGGACTGATGATTAGATATATTTCCTTATATACACGCCCATAGTTCTGCTCCCTAAATGTTCTGGACATGGGCGGACTGAGGGGACTTGGCCAGCTTTGGCCTAGCAGGCCAAAGCAAAGCTCGTCTCTGAGTCCTAGAAATGGGCTTACGGGCCGCGCCCTTGAGAAGATCTCTGGGGCCTGGTTGTTGAGTACGGTCTGTGGCAGGGGAATGTGGGCCTACTGAGACGGGGCTCCACAAGGTCCAACTTCGGCCCAGTCTGAGGTGGACCATTAACGGACCCATTAACAGTCCAATAAGAGGGTTATGGATAATACCGGTCTCCCTCGGTGACGACACCTCAGAGTCTGATTAACGGGGTAAAGGATGAGAGGCCCATTGGGCTCCATCCAGAAAGGGTGGAATGGAAGTTGTCCCGTCCTGCATAGAGCCCATTGCGAAGGTCACTCTTGAGAATCGGCAATGGGATTCGGGCTGCATCACGTCCTACGTGCTCTCTCGCCCCAAATGTTTTACCCATTATAACCAGCTGAAGTGCTAAGGGTTAATGGTTGAGTTAGTCTCACGGGTGATGTTCGTGATTTAGGAGTAATCCCTCGTTGACTATTGTAAAAATAAAATTGCGATGAGAAAGAAAAAAATCATAAAATTTAATTTTGAATGGGTCTCGTTTAGTAATAGCTTACTAGTAGTTATTATAAAAATAAAGATTCAATTGGTTTCGAGTTGAATAAAATCATTGATTTTACTATATAAATTGTTAATGACTATTGTTATAGCGGCGAGGGGCTATGATGGCCACAGTAAAACAACCATTTTCATGGGCAAAAGAAAAAAGGATTGTTGTAGTGTATAGGTTGTATTTAGTGAGGGGAGGGAACCGGTGGCTTAAGCGTGGATTCTCTCGCTCTCTCTCTCTCTCTCTCGCTTAGTGTTTGAGTTTCAACCACCACCTCGGCGGCCGTGACGGAAGCTCCCGGATTCTCTGCAAAACAGGCTCTTGAATTACAGCTGATTCTTGTACACTCCCCGTAGACGTCGATGGTCTACTCTCCTTTCACGTGTGCGATTTTTGACGCGGCGCCGCTGTCAGTTGGAATGCTTTTCAACCCCGTGCTGCCACAGATGTAGACAAGACGCCACAGATGATGGTCAAGCCAAACCCATGTATGTAATCCACAAGATCTCTTCATTCCACCGTGCACAAGCCAGAGTTCTCTCTGCGTCATCCTTTTTAAATGGGGCCCATTGGGATGAGAATATTTTCCTAGACGCTTGTACTTACTGAAGTTGCCGTCGGTTCTTCCGCATGATAACACTACGATATCTGTGTACATACGTACGCATTTCTAAATGTCAATGTGGGCTCGAACTTGTCTTGGGCAAAGGGTTGCACTCATGGGATACTGGCTAATAAAGCTTGTTCGAAGCAATAACAGAAGGGAATCCCACTTTACGCCTGAACGCGTGTGATGTAGAAACTGAAGAGGGCGGTTCAGCAACATGGATAAATGAAACGGGTTTACAGAGACAAGACACGCACATAAATAAGCCAAGGACCAGGAACTCATCTCACTCCGCTCCTAATAAAGTTACCTTGTTCTGTTGAAGTTCACGACATCGCCAAGCCATTGCTGGCTACGATGGTACCATCTTCACAACCTTGCCGCCACTTGCTCTCCCCAATCCCCGTTGCCAAGGACATACTGGTAGAACAAAGGTGTTTAATCAGCTCTCTTACATTAATGTCAACGCTGCGCTTAGTCTCCCACTTGTGCCCACCGCAATCTTGGTGTCTGTCTTCCTACCTAAGTTGGCTGGCTGTCATATCACATGGACATTACTGATGCTTTCCTTCATGGTTCTTGAGAGAGAAACCATATGTAGAATTAAATTTGAAGTTATTGAACCATCCAACTCAATACAAAATAGGAATGATTGGAACATGTCATCATCATAATCATAGGTTTGCTTTTATAATAACGTGTGAGTCTATTCTTTAACGCATCACCTCATTATTAAGCTGCTTTTTGCGTCTGTCAGGTTGACACAAGATTCAAGCAATGATTGATTTTGATATTAGGTTAAAAGGAGCTTGCCTTTTTACCTAAAACCAATGGACAATGAGTAAATCATTGTTTATTTTTGTAATCCAAAATTCAGTTTTATGGTAACATGTGTGAATGTTCTTCAAATTATATGGTTGTCCTTAAATTTGAACTCCCTCGTTTAAAGATTATAGAACCAATTTCGAGTTTGCTCAATATCGTGACGTGCAGGCATTAAACTTTTTTGATGAAAGAGTTGGAAATTATCAGGTTGCTGGCATCATATGATGATTCCTTCCATCAAGGATGAAATATCAACATTGTGTGTTCGAGGATGATCATGACTCAGCCATCCTTTCTGTCACCAAAGTAATGAATCGAACTTTTTTTCGAGGATTTCTACTTCGTAAATAAGCAACAACTAAACACAATTCTTGTCTCATTTATGTTTCCTTGCGTGCAACACAGGGACGCGATGTCGTAGGATGAGATCGCTCTTATCTATGATAGCAATCTGCCGCAGTAGGGAGGGTAAAACTGCCAGCACAGGCGCGCGACTTTCCATCAGCTAAGAAGGCCCCTCTCTCTCTCTCTCTCCCCGCGCTCTAAGGGTACCTTGTCTCGGGTTTCTCTTCATCTCTCTTCTCGGCTTCGTAGCATCACATCAGCGTCAAAAAGGTAGACTATGATGCAATACTACATCATCGTCTTTTATCACAAAATCAAAGCGTAGTCTCCACGCGTGTGCCGTCCGGGGAAGGTGTCGCTTTTGTCTCACCGCAGATCATTCATCGATTATGACAGATTCCTTTGAGGTGCTAGAGTCCTTGCTCCATGATCGTTCTTCCCCTCTCCCCGATCGAATGAATCTGGACTTCACTCTCTATATTTCCCATTAATTTGTATTTCCTCTGGAACTAAATACGCTTTACAGATAAGATGACAAGATGGACAAGGGAAGGGGAAAGGGTGGAGGGGAGAGAGAGAGAGAGAGAGAGAGAGAGAGAGAGATACACACATTCACACACACAGAGAAGAAGAGAGGACGGGCAGAGAGCTAAGAGACGAGGACAGAGCACTTTTGAGCTTCCATCTGCACGAAATCATTTGATCCATGGCAAGCAAATAAAGTTTCTTTCTCAGAATAGGGATAGGGATATTGGAGAATGAACAGAGAAAGATAACCAATATACCTACGCGTGATAGAGAAAGAAAGAGGCAGAGACGGATCAGTCTATAGTTAGGTAAACACGGGTATAAAAATATGCAAATATATTTAAATACAAGTACCAATCGAGCGAGAGAGAGAGAGAAAAAAACAGATATAGGGAATTATATCTTTCATTTTAAAACCCATTTGATCCGTGGCAACAGATGAACCAAACCCGTTGATGACTGCTTGCCCGATAATAGAACACATCTATCCTTCCTTTCATCATAACATTTCTTTTCGGTAAATGATTACATGTGTACATCAGTCGACCCATTTAAACAGACGAAAAAGCGCTGTATAGGATCATAACAGCCTACTTAAATGATAACAGGAAAGAATGAAGAGGAGAGAGAAGTGCCCCGTCTTGGAAACCCTTTCGCCTCTCTGGCGATTCCGATCCCGACCCCCAAACAATGACGACATATCAAGTTATTCAAACGCGACGCAAATCGTAGCCGTGCATGGTCACATGCGGGCGGATGCAAGTTCTTCATCTTCTACTTTTCGAGGTATGGATTCAAAAGGGTTTGTGGTAGAGGCCATGGATTCTGTTAAAAGAGTCCTCCCTCTGGATCTTCAGCTGCCTGTAGAAGTTCCCGATGAAGCTCTCGGCCCTCGTGAATAATTCCTGACCTGAAATTTCTCCCATCGCCTCGTACACTTCTTCTTCCTCCGCAACGGTTGCCTCCACCGCAGTACCGTCACCGTCGCAGCCGCCGATGAAAAAAAGGCACGGCACGGAGGGACTCTTCTTCATTTGAATCGAGGGGCTCCTCTTCAGGGACTTTTCTGTCCCCATAGGAGTCGCCTCCAGCGTAACAGGCGTTTCCTCGCGGCCACTGACGTCATTTACCTGCTTACCGCCGTTGGTAATGGCATTGATATCGTTTGGAAGTCCCGGGACAATCGCGCCAGCAGACTTTTTCTTCTCCACGGTTGGTTCCACGAGGAACTGGAGGACCCCCGACTCGTAGCCCAGTACTAAGATGAGGATGTTGAGGAGGAAGTAGATGTAAGGGGGCCTCAGAGACGAAGACACAAAGGGAATGAGCGTGAGGGAGAAGAGAAGGAAGAGTAGCTTAGCGATTTGAAGCTTGTGGAAATTCAGCTCCATGTCCCTTCCACAACCTGTGTTCTACTATCGTCCCTCCCCTCCCCTTCAAAGCGTCTTCACCCCAAACAGTAGTAGTAGACAATGGGAGTAACTGGCTTTCGTTATATAGAAACTCCGACACAGTCAATGGGGGAGGGGCGAGGGGAGGGGGTGGTGGGAGACGGAAAAGGGGAGAGAGAGAGAGAGAGAGAGGGTCCAAAAATGTGGATGGAAAGTTCACACGAAAGGGGAATCAAGGGTGGGGGTAAGGTTACAGGGAGAAGGAAGGGAAGAGGAAGGCGTGGCCGGATATTTTGTCACAAAGATATAGAGGTCATCCGTAAGTCGGAGTGAAATCCCGGGAGTAGAAGATAAGGTCGGCGAGCATATTCCCTCACTTTTTCGATGGTTGACGGCTTTCCCTCTGGGCCACGACCGTCCCATGCCCAAAGGCGCCACTAAAGTGGCTGTGGAACCCATTAGACGTTCACCCTTTTCCGGATCTTAGTCTAATCCTACCAGTCTCGAATCTCTCTCTCTCCTCCCACTTCTCAATCTTCTAGTTCCTTCGCGTCTCATTCTCTCTCTTTCTCTCTCTCTCTCTCTCTCCCTCTCTAAGCAAGGGAAGTGAGTGGGGTGTTGGTTACCGCATCTCTTCTTAACGCAAGCCAAGGAGAGGAAAAATTCCATTTGGTTGTGAAGAAGGTTCTACACTGACCAATTGATGGGGCACCAATTACATCTCTTTCGTCACTTTTGACGATCGTTAGTGCTTTCTAGTGAGCTCTACCCTGTTCCATTCATCCCAATTCACCACGTCAGACCTGGTGGGCCGTTGAATCCTTGCTACTGCGTGGGATGAAATAAACGCCAAATTTGGAATGCACGAGGAACCAAGCCTCCCCAGGACTGCAAACTTGACTAAACATTCTCCAAGTATGGAAGGACCATACCTTGATGCCTCTTATTCACTTGATCGTCATGACGATCATCATCTCCGCCCTATGCAGTACTATCATCACCATCATTGTCATCAACGTCACTGAATCTTTACGATTTTCAATTACTCCATTTTATCCATGATTTATTTTTATTATTTAAATAGTCGATATTGACTTTTAAAACATTAAATCATGTAATTATATATTTCTATCAGTATCATTGAAAATAAAGTGCTTCGTTTGTTAAGGAGTGAAAATTTAATATGGAATTGACATTGCACTCTTTGCCATCATTTTGTCAACATTCATCACAGCAGTTGAGGGAACCAACAGTAATCTTAACCAAGTTGTGAATACGAGTAACCAAAAAAGGCTTTGTAGAAATCATGTTATTCCTTTATTTTTAGTTTCTTCCTATTGTGGTTTAATCTATTTTATCACTTCATTTATTTCAGGTTCCTACAATGGTTGATGATTGGCCTTCCTCCGGTAGCTGATTATGGAGCTGTGGCAACATTACACTGAAAGTCAATTCTTCCTTCTTTGAAGGCAGTCAAAATGAAATATGCCTCTGTTTGCTATGTCCCAGGGGATATTAAGAAAATCTGTTAGTGAAGTATATTTAGGGTAGTCAATAAGTGCAAGATTGGATCATTAATCATTAGCATGATATGTGCACATGTCTATTATAAATATTACATTTACACTCCAAAATATAGTTTCAGATCACATTATTTGCATTATGGGTATGTTCTCAAAGGCAGGTCAAGTATAAACTATATTTTTAATGAAGTACTATTGAACAATCATTTTTGAAAATTATCTATGTAATCACAGAATGTAAACAGAATACTAGTTATGATTCTCTCATGGTGAATATTGATAATGTTTTCATAGTTATGTTTCACCAAGTAGCAACTTTGTAATGTTATTCATTTCCATTTAAAGTATATAAGGTTAATTTTCCTATATAATGTGAATTATATTATTGAATATGAAAATGAATCTAATCAAAGCTAAAGAGTGTTCAAACATTATGTCAATCTTGATGGTTCAAACAAAATCAAACAACTTATCTCACCATTAGACTGGTTTAAATAATGCTACAATCCAAATAAATTCAATTATCCACTATAAACTTCAAACAAACTTCACATTAGGGATGAAATTGAGATTGCTCTTTTATAGCAATAGAGAATCAACATATGGTTGTTTCAAAGGTTGTAAATTCCAGATAATGTCTTTAATTTGACTATCTGCATGGAGATGGTATTTACTAAAATACTTTTAATGAAAGACAATTGCTAGTAAACACTTTATCACAATGATTGTCTTAGACAAGCCATGGAATTTGACACGTCCTGGATTTTTGTATTCTGGTTTTTTATTATAGAAATCAGTAAAACTGAATTGGTGCAGAGTGATTTAAACATGTCACAACTAGTAGAAAGGTTTGTCCTTTGATGAGGAAGCCTCCCACTTTGTAGAGAACTCAATATCTACATCAATAAGGATTAAGATCAAGTTTGTCCTTCAATGAAAAAGATGTTGGTTTTAAAGAGGCTGCAATAACAACCAAGAGAAGGCAAAAAAGGGAATAGAATATTTTTTTGGACTCATATTCAATATTCTAACTTGCTAGGATATGTCACCCTTATGAGAGATCTTTTGTCTTGTGTTGAATTCTTTACATTTCATGTGTTTGGTATTTCATAAAGAAAATCTCGTTATTTGATTTGATTGTGCCAAGCCATATGTTGACACACTTTCTCTTTCCATGACATGATGGGTTGACACACTTTTGTGGGTCAACACATTTCTTTTTCCTATCTTTTGATTTAGCTTGATTTGTTTTTGTTATTTGACATGTATTTTCTTCATATGTGGCCTGAAAATCATATTTTTTCAACAAATGAAACCTAGATCTAAACAATTAAACTAAGTCTTGGGTTAGTGTATTCAAACATAATTATAGTAATTTTGCATTTTATGTTCATGTGATCAATTATTGTCACCAAAATAACTAAACTTGCTAACCTCCCTCTTTTGATGTTTACAAAATCCGTAAAAATTTATGTCATACATGCAGTTTTCTTAGGTATATGAATGATAATAAAAATTTGACATTAAAGACATTCATATACATTGATAATAAAATATTATTTTTATAATGCTTGGTGATGTCTTCATTATCATGAGTTAATAATTAGTAAATAATATAGTTTTAGCCTTAACTCATGATAAATAAACTTATATTTATATTAAAGTGTGAAAAGTGGTTTTTAGTTGAGTAATGTGAATTTTTGGCTAATTATGTGATTTTATACAAATTTATATGATTTTTACAATCTTACTTTTGGGATAAATGAAGAAAAAAATAAAAATAAAAATATAGCAAAATGGGAGGTACCCGCTGGCCAGTCAGGCCCCCAAGCAAGTCGGAAGCATAGTCAGTGAGGAGCCGTGAGTAGGGGCTCAATGGTTAAAACCGATAAGGGCACGTGTGCGCCACTCCCCTTACACGTCACTAGTGGCCAGCTAGCTATGGGGCAAGGAGTGGTCATACACGTGGGAGAAAAGTATTTACTTGCAAATGTAATATTAGCATATACTCGTCCAAAAGTTTGGCGTACAAGCGATGTGGGACTAAACCCTTGTCACACCTTCCCCTGAAAGGCTTTGATAATTTTAATACCTATAATATCCCTTATTTATAACAGAAATATACTATGATGATGTCATTTGATAAGGGCATTAGAGTACTTATTTCAATTTCTCTCATGTAGATAGGCAATTGGCACGGGTTTAAATCCTCCTAGAGCCAAAACTCATATTTTTTATCTGATTATTGTAACTTTCCTACAGATCGTCAGTGAAGGATTAAGTCGTTAGAATCATTAGATCATCGGCAAAAATTTCGTCAACGTAATTTGCAGAGTATTGTTACTAAAATTGCTGAATGATTTGCGATAAAAGGATCACAAATCCATCGAGTGAAGCATCTCCGATTGATTGATGAACAAGCCATCGTCAGGAGAGGACGATCCATCGGGAGATGAGTCATCACCTCCTAAGAGCGTACTGGATCTAATGAAGAGTCTCCTTTTGTTGCATAGACTTGAGGTTGAAGTTCCATAACATACGCCCCACCTCCATCTAGGTCTTCTTTATTGGGTGATAGTTGTTGGAGAGTCGTAAAGTCGTCATTTTTCTATTTTGCCAAGTGACAGCCGCTGGAGATGATTCGACGACTCATTTAATTGATCTCTAGACTTCGCAATGAGATCTAGAGATTGCCCACGTCGTCCACGCTAAGGAGAGCCTTTGAGGCCGTAGACACTGCACGACAATCCTCCGAATGCTCAAGATTTTAGTGTACCATTGACGCATCACCGCTGTGATGTCAGAACTCTATTTTCCTACTTTCAACTTAATTTTCACTTCATTTAGTGATAATTTGTGTGATTTAAATTTATCAAGATATACTTCATTCAACTATGATTCTTTCAGCTTTTACAGATCTTAATTTGATCAATTAAATCGTCTATAAATGCTTACGTAAGAATCGTTAGGTGGAACTCTATTTTTGTCCAATTCACATTCACCAAGCGTTGACGTCATCTTGACATCCATACCCTTATTTCCCTTTTTTTTAAATTTTAAATATATTTTATTTTCATTTCTTAATGTAAAATTTATAAAAAATAATATTGTTTGAGAAAAATTATAAATAATCACTTGATATTATATTACATTCGTGTGATCGGATTGGAAAATTACCACTATTTTTAGAAGTTTTATTAAATTATAATTAATATATTTGTTTAGAAATACTTTTAAATATCTAAAAATTAATATTTTTAATTTTATAAATTTTAAATTTGTGTAATTTATTATACAACGACTAAGTCATGTCACTCGGTGTTCCCCACTAATTGCTCCCGCTACATACATGCTTCTCTTAATCATGCACATATTTTTCTAAAAGTTTCTCCCCTTTTTTGTGAACATTAAACATAGTACATGGTGAAAGTTGATCAAAGATGAATACATGGATTTAAATCAAGCATGTCATCAAAG